GCCGGGCTCTCCGCCTGTCTTCAAGGCGCGTTACGTGGCTCGTGGCTTCAGTCAGCGGCAGGGAGTCGACTACTTTCAGACCTTCTCCCCCACCCCGAAGATGACCACTCTTCGGGTACTGCTGCACGTTGCTGCTCACCGTGACTACGAGCTGCACTCTCTTGACTTCAGCACAGCTTTCTTGCAGGGCAGCCTGCACGAGGAGATCTGGCTGCGTCGCCCACCTGGCTTCACTGGGTCTTTCCCTCCTGGTACCCAGTGGAGTCTCCGGCGTCCAGTCTACGGTCTCCGCCAGGCGCCACGTGAGTGGCATGACACACTGAGGACTACGCTTGCGGCTCTTGGGTTTGCTCCTTCTACTGCCGACCCGTCGCTGTTTCTGCGCACCGACACCTCTCTGCCGCCGTTCTACATCCTCGTGTACGTCGACGACTTGGTCTTTGCCACAGTTGAGACTGCTGGACTCGCCTACGTGAAGTTCGAACTGCAGAAGAGACACACGTGCACAGACCTAGGTGAACTGCGCAGCTACCTTGGCTTGCAGATCACCCGGGACAGAGCACGCCGCACCATTACCCTGACTCAGTCACACATGGTGCAGCAGGTCCTTCAGCGCTTCGGCTTCACGTACTCCTCGCCTCAGGCCACTCCTCTGTCTACTCGCCACTCGCTCTCAGCTCTGCCTTCGGATGAGTCCGTAGAGTCGAGTGGCCCGTACCCAGAGCTTGTTGGCTGCCTCATGTATCTGATGACCTGCACACGACCTGACATTGCATACCCTCTTAGCATTCTTGTACGCTATGTTGCTCCTGGGAGACACCGACCAGAGCACATGGCTGCAGCGAAGAGGGTGTTGCGCTACCTGTGCAGTACGTCGGGCATGGGGCTAGTGCTTGGAGGGCGGAGTCCAGTGGTCCTCAGTGGGCACGCGGACGCGTCTTGGGCTGACGACCAGGCTACGCAGCGGTCGTCACAGGGTTACACCTTCAGCCTTGGTTCCGGCTCTGTTTCGTGGCGGGCTACTCGCTCGTCTTCTGTTCTTGGCTCTAGTTGTGAGGCTGAGATCTACGCCGGGGCCATGGCTGCACAGGAGCTTCGCTGGCTCACCTACCTGCTGACCGACCTTGGAGAGCCGCCTCGTTCTCCTCCAGTCCTGTACGTAGACAACAAGGCCATGCTGGCCTTGTGTCGAGAGCAGCGACTGGAGCACATAACAAAGCACATTGCTCTCCGCTACTTCCTTGCTCGTGAGCTACAGCAGCGTGGTCAGTTGCAGCTTGCGTACGTGGCCTCTGAGGCCAACACTGCTGATGTCTTCACCAAGGCACTTCCGCCTTCTGATCATCAGCGCTTTTGCACTCAGCTGGGTCTTGTGCCCGTCTTGCCTCACTTGCTCTCCTCTTGACCTTGCTTGTACTCTCACATATATATATATATACCTGCTCTTGCTTGCCTAGCTTTATATATATGTGTGTACTCTTGCATGTGAACTGGCCGTGTGGCCGTGACCTTGTGCTCGGACTGTGTGGTGACTTTGTGATCCACCCTGAGCTTGCTTTGGTTTGCTTTGCTTGACTGGTCTTGTGACCCCTTGTTCTCCCCCACTTTGCCTATGGGGGTGTGTTAGAACATTATAGCTTATGCTGTTGTGTAGGCTATAGTGGGGTATCCCATAGGGGGTACAACCAATTAGGGTTTCATATTTGTACTCACTTCGTTTCATAGTTCACCATTCTCTTGTTCTAATCTTCTCACAGCGCACAGTTCCGACTGACCCAACCCGAACTGGACGAACGGAGGAAGCAGCTCGACTACCTGCTTGAGAAAGAGTTCATTCGCCCTAGTTCGTCTCCTTTCGCAGCACCGATACTGTTCTCACCGAAAAAGGACGGGGGATCTCGCATGTGCATAGATTACAGAGCACTGAACAAGGTTACCATCAAATCCCGTTACCCCATCCCGCGAGCCGACGAACTGATCGACCAGCTGCGCACAGCCCGGGTTTTCTCGAAAATTGACCTTCGTGGAGGTTACCACCAGATTCGCGTCAACCCACCCGACTGCCCTAAGACAGCCTTCTGAACACGCTACGGATCCTTCGAATACACTGCCATGCCTTTCGGACTGACTAATGCCCCCGCCACCTTTCGAATGAACATGAACGAAGCCTTCCGCCCACTTTTAGATAAGTGCGTTATCGTGTATCTGGACGACATACTGATTTACAGCCCTGACAGAGCACAACAATTACAGGACATCGAAGTAGATTTTATAGTGAGAACCGCCTACTGACAAAAGCGTCTAAGTGTGAGTTTTTACAGGACCGACTGGAATTTTTGGGACACATCATTTCAGCTGCAGGAGTGGAAATAGACCCGAAGAAGATCGCGACGATTCAAGCATGGCACGCGCCAACCAACTTGACCGAGTTGTAGAGTTTTTTGGGGTTCGTCAACTACGTGCGCCGGTTCGTCCTCGCCATGGCGAAGCTGACAGCCCCGTTGACCGACTTGGTGAGGAAGGGGGCTGAGTACTCGTGGGGGGAGAAAGAGCAAGCTGCCTTCTCGGCCCTCAAAAATATTATGTGCTCACCGCCCGTGCTTCACATCGCAGATCCGCACCGTCCGTTCGAACTGGTCACCGACGCTAGCGACATCGCTGTGGGAGTAGTTATGCTACAGGACTTCGTGAACGGCCTTCAGCCAATCGCGTACGAGTCCCGCAAGCTTCACCCGCCCGAACGCAACTACCCGATACATGACCGCGAGATGTTGGCGATCGTGCACGCGTTCAAGGTGTGGCGATGTTACCTCAAGGGAGCAGACGTGACAGTACTGACAGACCACCGATCCCTATAGTACCTTCGCGCCCAACCGAATCTCAACCCACGACAGATCCGCTGGTTCGACTATCTGGAGTCCAACTTCCACTACACAGTCAAGTACAAAAAAGGCGCATTCAACATCGCCGACGCACTCACACGCCCCACCGCCCAACTCCACGCCATCCTACTCGCCCAAACCAACCCTCTGTTAACAGGCCTATTCACCCACGGATACAGTACCGACCCATTTTTCACGACCGGAAATTCACAGCAACTGGCAGAGGCCAAAGGCGTCTATTATGTAAAGACAGGCACCAACCGCATCTGGGTACCCGCGTACTCACTACTGAGGGAACTGTTACTGCAGGAGGCACACGACGGGATTACCTCGGGACATTTTGGGGTAGAAAAAATGCGACAGCAACTGCAGCGGTATTACTACTGGCCGGAACTGTTGACCGACGTACAGTTCACGTGGGCTCGTGTCCTACGTGTCAGGTGATGAAGAGCTCGCGAAAAAGAAAGGCGGGTCAGTTGCAGCCGATTCCACCGCCTGAGCGCGCCTGACAACAGGTTACCATGGATTTCGTCACGGGGTTACCTTCGAACCCTGGGGGTAACGACACGGTTATGGTCGTCGTTTACAGATTGACGAAGATGGCACACATCGCTGCGTGCAAGAAATTGATCTCAGCCGAAGAAACCGCTCGCCTGTTCATCGCAACCGTCGTTCGACTGCACGGGATACCAGCCGCGATAATCAGCGACCGCGACACGAAGTTCACCAGCAACTTATGGAAAAACCTCTTGGAGCAGTTCGGGACTAGGCTACAGTTCAGCTCGTCGTACCACCCCGAGACCGACGGTCAAACGGAGCGGACGAATCAGACGATGGAGCAGTTGATTCGTGCCACGTGCGACGACCCTACCACTTGGGAGCAGCAGCTGCCGCGGATTGAGTTCGCGTATAACAACGCCACGTTAGCGACGACGCAGCAGTCCCCCTTCTACCTGAACTACGGGCAAAATCCTACAGTGCCCATGACGCCGAGTCCAGACAACCCAACGCCACGTGCACAACAATTCGGCGAAATTTTTGCAAGCTGCCTGCACCAGAGCCGCAGAAGCAATTAAAAAGGCCAATGTCATCGCTAAGCACAACGCTGACCGCCACCGCCGCCAAGTCACGTACCAGTCATGAGACTACGTACTGCTCGACACACAAAACTTAAGACTGTCCGTCGTACCGAAATTGCGACCCCGCTACTGTGGACCATTCCAAATCAGCCACATGATTACCCCAGTGACAGCCCACCTAATGTTGCCGACGGACTGGTACATCGGCCCTTCATTCCACGTCAGCCTGCTTCGCCCATACATCCCAACCACAAGCCAACTGCCTCGTCACTGCTCGCCATCCATGACTCGCCCTGCATCGGAGCCGATCATCGAACCCGAAAAAATCCTAAGCCATCGGATTCGACACCCCACGGGAATCGGGAGGATTGAATTCCTCGTTCGCTGGAAGGATCGCATGCCAATTGAAGATAGCTGGGTGCCCCTGGCCAACATCGAAAACCACCCTACCCTGCAAGTGTACCTGAGGAGTCGGGGTTTCCGCGATATACACGCACTCGCGTAGCGGAGGGGGCTTCTTGAGGGGGGGGGGTAGTGTAAGGAATTTTCTCGATATTCCTTAGCGCACCCTGCAACATCGCGTACAGCAGCAGCCGTTGTTCGCCCGTTACTGCTAACGGGGCTTCGCCGACTTCGCGCGCACTGCTTCACCAAACCTCACACTGCTGGCCCGGCCGTGTCGGCCTACGCTTCGGGACTAGCCCGAGCCTCGCTGCCAGCATAGCACTAGCTAGCTCGCACGCACCGCGTTACCGTTTGCATGTTTCGCGAATAAATGTTCGCTCATGCCTTCGGTCACATTTTGTACTCGTTTGACACCTTAGTCCAATTCTCACTACTTCGATTCATTGCATCCGTAACAGGGAGTTATTCCTTACACTAGAGGGAAAACAAATTTCCTCATGATGTGACGGTTCCGCATTGGTGTCGTTTCACCCAATTACGATATGTATATAGTTAAACAGGTACCACCCAGCCAAGATGTCCAGCAGGAGGGGGGATCCCAAGAAAACAGGGAGAGAATAACACACGCCAGAATTTAACGGAAATCAAAGGCCTCGGGAGGTGCAGGCTCGTCATCCTCTTCATCATCGTCAGCAGGTGGCGGCGGGGGGGGGGGAGCACCCCCCCCTCTCCCCCTCCCCCCTGCCCCTCCTCCCCCTCCGCTCCTCCTAAACGCTCCCACAGGAGCAGCAGCAGCTGGGGCAGCAGCAGCGGCAGTCCGGGCAGCACCGGAATTCCCGGCCGCAGCAGCATTCGGCCCGTCGGTGAGCGCGAATTCTTCGGGCTGCCCGGGCTGGCAATCCTTGAGGAGCAAAAACCCCGAGGTTGGCTTCCTGATTGGTGCATAGCGGCAGGTGTCCGGGAACTTGATGTATTTTTCTTGGGCGGGCAGCACTCGGGCAGGATTGTGAAGGATTTCAGACGTTGGCTCAGCCGGTTTCTTGGCTTCAGCAGCAGCACTGGGAGTGGTCTCGGTCCCCTCAACCTGCAAAGATGGAAGGAAGGAATTGGAGGTATGACAAGAGAGGGGTCGGAGAGAGGGTGGGCGAGAGGAGTGGAGAGGGGTGAAGAAGGGTGGAACAGGTTAGAAATTGGTGGAAACCAGACAGCGAAACGGGTTGCGCATCACTACTTGGTCAAATAAAAGCCTCGATATTACGGGCTATGCATCGAGATATAGAGTGTGAGGGCGAGGAAAGCAAGAGCACGAATGCATGCAAGCGAAAGAAAGCCACGAGCGGGCGGGGAAGGGGGGGTGGGAGTGGCGGGCGGAACGGGTAACATATGTACAAGAACAGTTAGAAATCGTGGGGAAATGTGGAAGGGCAGGTGCAGACGATAAAAACTCACCTCCATAGCATCTCCTTCCTTCTTCTCCTCTCCCTTCTTCCCTCCATCCTCCTCTCCCCCCTTCACCCCATCCATCGCCCCACCCTCCCCGGCCTTCCCCTCTCCCCCATCCTTCTTCTCCTCCTCCTTCTCCTTCTTCTCCTCCTTCTCCTTTGCCCTCCCCTTCGCCCTCGCAGCAGTCGACAGCACCGCAACCGGAGCCTTCACGGCAGTGCTGCTACTCGCCACAACAGCGGGCGGCGGGTACGCAAACAACCCCGGGCGGCACTCCGAAACGAAATCAAATTTCGGCGCTTTGAGATCCCCCTGAAGCCCGACGAGTGCCGTTGCAGAGAAGGAGAGAGAGAGGAAGTGCAGCAGCGGGAACCAGTACCAGTACTGCGTGAAAAGAGCCATGCCGATGACGGCGGTTACGCGGTCGTAGCCCGAGCGGGAGCGCAGCGAGATGGTGACGTTGCGGCCGCCTGCGTCGAGGATTCCGGAAGCGAGAATGGCGCCCATCTTGCACATGGTGTCCTCGTGCTTGTCGTGAATCGCCTTCTCAAGTTGGCGCCTGGAGAGCACAGGGGGTGACAGTGTATGGTAGTGGGGGACAGCGGGGAAGTGAGTGGGAGAGACAGAATGGCGCCCATCTTGCACATGGTGTCCTCATGCTTGTCGTGAATGGCCTTTTCAAGCTGACGCCTGGGAGGAGACAGATGGGGAAGACGGGGGTAACAGCGCATGGAGCAGGGAACAGCGGGGAAGTGAGTGGGGGACAGCGAGAATGGCGCCCATCTTGCACATGGTGTCCTCGTGCTTGTCGTGAATGGCCTTCGCGAGCTGACGCCTGGAAGGGGAGGAGGTAGAAGGAGAGAGTGTTTTTGAGACGTCTCAAAAACAACCTCGCTTCACGGGGAGGAGGTAGAAGGAGAGAGTGTTTCTGAGACGTCTCACCGCCTGAGCGCGCCTGGCACCTCCTCTCTCCCCCTCTCTCTAGAAAGCTCACCCCTCAGCTGAAGGTCCACCCGTCACCTGAAGGTCCACCCGTCACCTGAAGGTCCAGCCGTCACCTGAAGGTCCAGCCATCACCTGAAGGTCCAGCCGTCACCTGAAGGTCCAGCCGTCACCTGAAGGTCCAGCCGTCACCTGAAGGTCCAGCCGTCACCTGAAGGTCCACCCGTCACCTGAAGGTCCAGCCGTCACCTGAAGGTCCAGGCGTCACCTGAAGGTCCAGCCGTCACCTGAAGGTCCAGCCGTCACCTGAAGGTCCACCCGTCACCTGAAGGTAAAGCCGTCACCTGAAGGTCCACCCGTCACCTGAAGGTCCAGGCGTCACCTGAAGGTCCAGCCGTCACCTGAAGGTCCACCCGTCACCTGAAGGTCCACCCGTCACCTGAAGGTCCAGGCGTCACCTGAAGGTCCAGGCGTCACCTGAAGGTCCAGCCGTCACCTGAAGGTCCAGCCGTCACCTGAAGGTCCAGCCGTCACCTGAAGGTCCAGCCGTCACCTGAAGGTCCAGCCGTCACCTGAAGGTCCAGCCGTCACCTGAAGGTCCACCCGTCACCTGAAGGTCCACCCGTCACCTGAAGGTCCAGCCGTCACCTGAAGGTCCAGCCGTCACCTGAAGGTCCAGCCGTCACCTGAAGGTCCACCCGTCACCTGAAGGTCCACCCGTCACCTGAAGGTCCACCCGTCACCTGAAGGTCCAGCCGTCACCTGAAGGTCCAGCCGTCACCTGAAGGTCCAGCCGTCACCTGAAGGTCCAGCCGTCACCTGAAGGTCCAGCCGTCACCTGAAGGTCCACCCGTCACCTGAAGGTCCAGCCGTCACCTGAAGGTCCAGCCGTCACCTGAAGGTCCAGCCGTCACCTGAAGGTCCAGCCGTCACCTGAAGGTCCACCCGTCACCTGAAGGTCCACCCGTCACCTGAAGGTCCACCCGTCACCTGAAGGTCCAGCCGTCACCTGAAGGTCCAGCCGTCACCTGAAGGTCCAGCCGTCACCTGAAGGTCCACCCGTCACCTGAAGGTCCAGCCGTCACCTGAAGGTCCAGCCGTCACCTGAAGGTCCACCCGTCACCTGAAGGTCCAGCCGTCACCTGAAGGTCCAGGCGTCACCTGAAGGTCCAGCCGTCACCTGAAGGTAAAGCCGTCACCTGAAGGTCCACCCGTCACCTGAAGGTCCAGGCGTCACCTGAAGGTCCAGCCGTCACCTGAAGGTCCACCCGTCACCTGAAGGTCCACCCGTCACCTGAAGGTCCAGGCGTCACCTGAAGGTCCAGGCGTCACCTGAAGGTCCAGGCGTCACCTGAAGGTCCAGCCGTCACCTGAAGGTCCAGCCGTCACCTGAAGGTCCAGGCGTCACCTGAAGGTCCAGCCGTCACCTGAAGGTCCAGCCGTCACCTGAAGGTCCAGCCGTCACCTGAAGGTCCACCCGTCACCTGAAGGTCCACCCGTCACCTGAAGGTCCAGCCGTCACCTGAAGGTCCAGCCGTCACCTGAAGGTCCAGCCGTCACCTGAAGGTCCACCCGTCACCTGAAGGTCCACCCGTCACCTGAAGGTCCAGCCGTCACCTGAAGGTCCAGCCGTCACCTGAAGGTCCAGCCGTCACCTGAAGGTCCAGCCGTCACCTGAAGGTCCAGCCGTCACCTGAAGGTCCACCCGTCACCTGAAGGTCCAGCCGTCACCTGAAGGTCCAGCCGTCACCTGAAGGTCCAGCCGTCACCTGAAGGTCCACCCGTCACCTGAAGGTCCAGCCGTCACCTGAAGGTCCGCCCGTCACCTGAAGGTCCACCCGTCACCTGAAGGTCCACCCGTCACCTGAAGGTCCAGCCGTCACCTGAAGGTCCAGCCGTCACCTGAAGGTCCAGCCGTCACCTGAAGGTCCAGCCGTCACCTGAAGGTCCAGCCGTCACCTGAAGGTCCACCCGTCACCTGAAGGTCCAGGCGTCACCTGAAGGTCCAGCCGTCACCTGAAGGTCCAGCCGTCACCTGAAGGTCCACCCGTCACCTGAAGGTCCAGCCGTCACCTGAAGGTCCAGCCGTCACCTGAAGGTCCACCCGTCACCTGAAGGTCCAGCCGTCACCTGAAGGTCCAGCCGTCACCTGAAGGTCCAGGCGTCACCTGAAGGTCCAGCCGTCACCTGAAGGTCCAGCCGTCACCTGAAGGTCCACCCGTCACCTGAAGGTCCACCCGTCACCTGAAGGTCCAGCCGTCACCTGAAGGTCCACCCGTCACCTGAAGGTCCACCCGTCACCTGAAGGTCCACCCGTCACCTGAAGGTCCAGCCGTCACCTGAAGGTCCAGCCGTCACCTGAAGGTCCAGCCGTCACCTGAAGGTCCAGCCGTCACCTGAAGGTCCAGCCGTCACCTGAAGGTCCACCCGTCACCTGAAGGGCACGACGCGGGGCTCTCGCTCCTGGGAGCACTGCATAAGAACCATTGCCGTAGCCATCACCGCCCCCTGCCGCACAAAGTCCACCCCGTCCGATGTGAGCGGCTCCAGCAGGTCCAGGGCGCTCCGCTGGGCCGTGCCGGCGCATGCAATGCCGACCGCCATGGCTGCCCCGTAGCGCACGTGGGGATTGAAGGACTCCGCGAGTAAAGAGACCATTCGGGGGACCTGCAAAGCAAGTGGTGGAGGGCGGTGCAAAGGAGAGAGAGGGGTTGAAAATGGTACAACACAGGTCAAACGGGGTGCGGGAGTGGCTCCAGCAGGTTGAGGGCGCTGCGCTGCGCCGTGCCGGCGCATGCAATGCCGACTGCCATGGCTGCCCCGTAGCGCACGTGGGGGTTGAAGGACTCGGCTAGGAGAGAGACCATTCGGGGGACCTGAGAAGGAGGGAGAGAGGTGGAGCGCGGTACAAGGGTTAGGATGAGCCGTGCCGGCGCAGGCTATGCCGACCGCCATGGCTGCCCCGTAGCGCACGTGGGGATTGAATGACTTGGCTAGGAGAGAGACCATGCGAGGGGCCTACAAAGAAAGAAGGAGAGAGAGGGGTGGAAAGCGGTACAAGAGTCAAACGGGGTGACCGGCGCATGCGATGCCGGCTGCCATGGCTGCCCCGTAGCGCACGTGGGGGTTGAAGGACTCGGCTAGGAGGGACACCATGCGGGGTACCTGCAAGGGGGGGAGGGAGAGCGGCAAAGAGTGGTGTAAGGGGAGAGGGAGTGGTGAGGCACGGTACACAGGAAGAGTGAGCGGTGCAGGGTGATGCAAGGGCAGAGTGAGGAAGAGGCTCCAGCAGGTCCAGCGCGCTTCGCTGCGCCGTGCCGGTGCAGGCTATGCCGACTGCCATGGCTGCCGCGTAGCGTAGCACAGCGCAGCATAGCAGAGAGAGTGGGAGGGACAGAATATAGCGTGCTTCACGCACTGCTTCTCTCTCACCTGATCCGGCTCCGCACAGAGAACAAAGCCCAGGCACAGCACAGCAGCGAGAGAGCGACACACAAACAGCAACCTCCCTCACCATAACCTTTCTCTCCCTTGCTCTCACTTGATCTGGCTCAGCACAGAGAACAAAGCCCAGGCACAGCACGGCGGCGCGCCTGACGTCATCGCTGACGTCACTGACGGCAAAGTGCAGAAGCTGCCGAATGGCGCCGTTGTTGGCGGTGCCGCGGTAGGCCATGGCGATGGCGTACATGCCGCCGTAGCGCAGGATCGGGTCGGCGTCCGTCGTCATTTGCTGGATGAGAATATCGGCCTCTTCCTCCCGGCCGTAAACGACCAGGGAAATCCCCACCGCCAGGCCTCTGGTGGATTCTCAGCAGAAAAATCCGGAGGAAGGGGAGCAGATAGGAGAAAGGGAGGGGAAGGTTGAGGAAGGAAAGCTGGCGAATGGCGCCGTTGTTGGCGGTGCACAGTTTTGTGGGCATAAGCCAGCATCTCCGCTGCTACCTGCGTGTGTGTATCGTTCTCCTGTGATTGCGTATGTGCACCCTCACAACCATTCCCCTTTTGAGACGTCTCAAATGTGTATCGTTCTCCTGTGTTTGCGTATGTGCACCCTCACAACCATTCCCCCACCTGATAATCTTTTCATGCTGCGTGTCATGGGCATAAGCCAGCATCTCCGCCACCCGCTCGCTGTGTGTGTGTGAGTGCGTGTGTGTGTGTGTGTGTGTGTGTGTTTGGTGCGGATAGTCCCCTAACCCCCTAGTCAACCTGTCCCCACCTGATGATCTTCTCGTGCTGCGTGTCATGGGCATAAGCCAGCATCTCCGCCCGCCGCTACTGGATGAAATAGAACTGCCCACCGTATGTGCACCCTCACAACCATCCCCCCACCTGATGATCTTCTCCTGCTGCGTGTCATGGGCATAAGCCAGCATCTCCGCCCGCCGCTACTGGATGAAAGAGAACTGCCCACCGTATGTGCACCCTCACAACCATCCCCCCACCTGATGATCTTCTCGTGCTGCGTGTCATGGGCATAAGCCAGCATCTCCGCCCGCCGCTACTGGATGAAAGAGAACTGCCCACCGTATGTGCACCCTCACAACCATCCCCCCACCTGATGATCTTCTCGTGCTGCGTGTCATGGGCATAAGCCAGCATCTCCGCCCGCCGCTACTGGATGAAAGAGAACTGCCCACCGTATGTGCACCCTCACAACCATCCCCCCACCTGATGATCTTCTCATGCTGCGTGTCATGGGCATAAGCCAGCATCTCCGCCCGCCGCTACTGGATGAAAGAGAACTGCCCACCGTATGTGCACCCTCACAACCATCCCCCCACCTGATGATCTTCTCGTGCTGCGTGTCATGGGCATAAGCCAGCATCTCCGCCCGCCGCTACTGGATGAAAGAGAACTGCCCACCGTATGTGCACCCTCACAACCATCCCCCCAACTGATGATCTTCTCGTGCTGCGTGTCATGGGCATAAGCCAGCATCTCCGCCCGCCGCTTCTGGATGAAAGAGAACTGCCCACCATATGTGCACCCTCACAACCATCCCCCCACCTGATGATCTTCTCGTGCTGAGTGTCATGGGCATAAGCCAGCATCTCCGCCGCCACAACTGGATGAAAAGAGTACCGGACACAGTGTCTGTGTGTGCCTGTATGCTTATCCCCTAACCCCCTCGTCACCCTGCCCTCACCTGATGATCTTCTCATGCTGCGTGTCATGGGCATAAGCCAGCATCTCATACATGTGTGCGAGAATCATTATACATGTGACCTCACAACCACCCCCCCACCTGATGATCTTGTCGTGCTGCGTGTCATGGGCATAAGCCAGCATCTCATACATGTGTGCGAGAATCATTATACATGTGACCTCACAACCACCCCCCCACCTAATGATCTTGTCGTGCTGCGTGTCATGGGCATAAGCCAGCATCTCATACATGTGTGCGAGAATCATTATACATGTGACCTCACAACCACCCCCCCACCTAATGATCTTGTCGTGCTGCGTGTCATGGGCATAAGCCAGCATCTCATACATGTGTGCAAGTATCACTATACATGTGACCTCACAACCACCCCCCACCTGATAATCTTCTCGTGCTGCGTGTCATGGGCATAAGCCAGCATCTCCGCCGCCCGCTCGCTCGCCGTCCCAACTAGCAGCAGCCCCATGGCAATCCCTGCTGCCTCGCCCGCAACAGCGCTGTCAGTGTAGAGAACGCTCTTCACGTCCTCATACACCTCCTCATCGCCGGTGCCCATCGCCGCCAGACCCACGCCCAGGCACGCGCCATGCTGGATTGTCTGCTCAGGGTTTGACGGGTTGAGGGGTTTTGGGTTGAAGGGAGTGAGCAGTGGGTGCAGGGTGGGGTGCCACGGCGCTGTCAGTGTAGAGCACGCTCTTCACGTCCTCATACACCTCCTCATCGCCGGTGCCCATCGCCGCCAGACCCACGCCCAGGCACGCGCCATGCTGGATTGTCTGCTCAGGGTTTGACGGGTTGAGGGGTTTTGGGTTGAAGGGAGTGAGCAGTGGGTGCAGGGTGGGGTGCCACGGCGCTGTCAGTGTAGAGCACGCTCTTCACGTCCTCATACACCTCCTCATCGCCGGTGCCCATCGCCGCCAGACCCACGCCCAGGCACGCGCCATGCTGGATTGTCTGCAGGGTTCAGGGTTTAAGGGGCAGTTAGGGGTTGCGGGGCGGGGGATAAGGGGGTGGGTGCGGGGTGGGGGATAAGGGGGTGGGTGCGGGGTGGGGTGGCACGGCGCTGTCAGTGTAGAGCATGCTCCTCACGTCCTCATACACCTCCTTGTCGCCCGTGCCCATCGCCGCCAGACCCACTCCCAGGCATGCGCCATGCTGGATCGTCTTCTCAGGGTTTTGGGATTAAGTGTTATGTATTCTAAGGGGTTGAAGGGTAATGTGGCCAAAATTAGATTGCAGTTCGGGAATGCTTGACAGACCTGCTGCACTCATCTACTTCATTGAAACCCGAAACCTTTGGTCCCTGCCCCTGAGCGCACCTTGTTGCTGGTGTTGTGGAGAGCTCTCCAGCAGGAATCTCTTTTGATACTTAAACCCTGAACCTCTCACCCCGTGTCCCCCGCCCTACACACACCTCGTTGCTGGTGTTGCGGAGGCTCTCGAGCAGAAACCCCTTGATGCTCTCCCCGTGGTTAGCATGAATGAGCCCCAGAGCATACAGCGCCCCGCCCTCCGAATACGCACTCCCACTCAGGCCCCCTGCTCCCCCGCCTGCTGCCCTCCCTGCTGCCCTGCCCCACCTGTTGTCCCACCTGCTTCCCTACCTGCTGCCCCTAGCCTCTGCCGCCCCCAAACGTTCCCCCAAAACCGAAACCCTAAACCCCGCCCCACCTCATTGCTGGTGTTGCGGAGGCTCTCGAGCAGGAACCCCTTGATGCTCTCCCCGTGGTTAGCATGAATGAGCCCCAGAGCGTACAGCGCCCCGCCCTCCGAATACGCACTCCCACTCAGCCCGCCCGCTGCCCCTGCGCTGCCCCCAGCCCCGTGGGGCAGGTAGGGCGCCATGAGGGAGCGCCCCTGCTGCAGGTGGCCCCTGTGGATCACCCCCAGCCCGGCTGTGGCGCTCAGCTTCGCCCAGTTGGTCGCCCGGCTCAACCAGTCCTGCATTGAAAGAGAGGGATGGGAGGATTAGATCGGAATAAGGGGTAGAGATGAGGGACATGAGCAAGCGCCCCTGCTGCGAGCGCCCCTGCTGCAGGTGCCCCCTGTGGATCACCCCCAGGCCGGCTGTGGCACTCAGCTTCGCCCAGTTGGTCGCTCAGCTCAGCCAGTCCTGAACAGAGGGAGTGGGGTAGGAGGTTGAGATCGGGATAGGGGGTTGGTATGAGACACATACATGAGGGAGCGCCCCTGCTGCAGGTGCCCCCTGTGATGAATCATCCCCAGCCCGGCTGTAGCGCTTAGCTTCGCATGCATGAGCATGAGTGCATGCATGAGCATGAGTGCATGCATGAGCATGAGTGCATGCATGAGCATGAGTGCATGCATGAGCAAGAGTGAATGCATGAGCATAAGTGCATGCATGAGCAAGAGTGCATGCATGAGCATAAGTGCATGCATGAGCAAGAGTGCATGCATGTGCATAAGTGCATGCATGAGCAAGAGTGCATGCATGAGCATAAGTGCATGCATGAGCAAGAGTGCATGCATGAGCATAAGTGCATGCATGAGCAAGAGTGCATGCATGAGCATAAGTGCATGCATGATCCTCAGCGCACTTACCAGGTTGTCTCTGAGGAAAGTGTCGACTGTCATGCCCGCATGGATGAATGCGTTGGCTACAGGGAGAGGCAGGCATGCATGATTATACGCATGCTCACCAGGTTGTCTCTGAGGAAGGTGTCAACTGTCGTGCCAGCGTGCATGAACGCGTTGGCTACGATGGTGGCGCTGTGGCACACGCTGTTGCGCGTCTCCACCACCTGCTTGATCGCCTTCAGCACTCCCAGGTCCGCCCTGCAAGGTAAGACGATAGAAAGAGAAACAAAGGGTGTTAAGTGGTATGGCGAATGTTGCTACACCACGATGGCAGTGCTGTGCTGTGGCACACGCTGTTCCTCGACTCCACCATCTGCTTGATCGCCTTCAGCACTCCCAGGTCCGCCCTGCAGGTAACACAAACACAGAGAGCATGACTGGCCACTCACTTGTTGTGGCTGTACAGGCAAGAACTGCAGGGTGAGGCCGATCGGTGCAATGCTGGTACGCAACCTAAGCAACACAAGCACTAACAATTTTATTCAACAACAAAGCAGTACTCACTTGTTGTGGCTATACAGGAACTGCAGGGTGAGGCCGATCGGAGTCTCCCCCGTCAGAATCCCCTTAAGCTTCGCCAGTCGCTCTGCATACACCACCTCCTCGCTCGGCGCAGCCTCGGCAGCTGCCTCGCCCTCCCCCGAACCTGCAGCTTCGGCCGAACCAGAACCAGCTGCCTCGGTAGTGTCCATGGTGCTTGTCCTGTCAACCTCGGCAGCAGGTTTGGCTGCCCCATCTTCAGCAGCTGCTGTAGCCGTATCTGTCGCCTCTCCGCCCTCTGCCTTTGCTGCTCCTTCTCCCTCCTTCCCTTCCTCCGTCTCCATTGCTGCAGCCGCATCGGTTGCACCAGCAGCACTGCCTCCCTCAGCTGCTGCGGCGCCTGTTACAGCATCACCAGCAGCAGCCACCTCAGCACCCGCATCAGGGGCAGCAGCAGCAGAAGCACCATCCGCCTCCGGAGCAGCAACAGCAACAGCGGCATCGGCATCAGCAGAAGCCGGAACAGCCGGGGCAGGCGCAAGCGGGGGCGGCGGGTCAGGCAGAGCATCCCTCACAGACAGCAGGAACTGCTGAAACTCGTTCTCAAACAGGTCAAAGGCGACCTGGTACGCTAATAAAGCGTGCGACTCGTTCTGCCCCTTGATGAGTCGGTCCAGTGTCGCCGCCACCCCTGCTGCGTCGCTGAGGAACATGAGCATCTGGCATATGCTGCCGTAGTCGGGGGTCTCTGCCTGCTGATATAGACGCACCAATGTTGACAAAACCTGGGGGAATGAACAACGGAGAGGGGCAAGGGGTAAGGAGAGGAGGGAGTCGCTGAGGAACATGAGCATCTGGCATATGCTGCCGTAGTCGGGGGTCTCTGCTTGCTGGTGCAGCCGCACCAGTGTGGACAGCACCTGGGGAGGCGCGGGGAAAGAGGGGGGGGGCGCCAAGGAAGGAGAGGGCAAGGGGGAAGGGCAAGGGGAAAGGGCAAAAGGAGCCACGGAGGAAGAGAGCATCTGACACGTGGCTTCTGACACGTGCGCAGCCTTGTATGAGCACTCTGCCTGCTGGTAAAACACATCAGCAAGTGATTGAGATGAGAACACCAAGGCATACAGGTGGCAGGATGAAGAGAGGGCGCAGGGAGGGTGATGAGGGGGCGCAGGGAGGGTGAAGAGAGGGCGAGGGAGAGGGTGATGAGAGGGCGAGGGAGAGGGTGAAGAGAGGGCGAGGGAGAGGGTGAAGAGAGGGCGAGGGAGAGGGTGATGAGAGGGTGAAGGAGAGCAAGAGAAGGCGAGGGTCGGGTGCAGTACCTGCTGCCGGAATTGTCGGCGGTTGACAAGGGAATGAGAGACCTGCACGGGAGGTAAGCAACAGCAAGGCAGGCAGGAAACGCAGCAGCAAACAGGGGGGTGAGGGATGAAATGAAAAGCAAGTGCCAAGTGTGCCTGTGTGCGGGGAAAGGGGACGGACAGGATGGAAGTTCATTTCAAAGTTGGCAAACGAGCAAGATTTTTTCAGAAGCATATGTGAATACGTTGAGAAGCAGGCGCGGTGAACACTGAGCAGCAGGTGCGGGTTAATGAGTGGGTGAGTAAATATCAGCCTACCTGCAGGCAGTAGGCGAGCAGCGAGCGCGAGTTGCCACTCCTGGCGACAGCCGCCTCCAGCTTGTCAAGTCGGCGGCACTCCAGCGAGCAGGAAAGTCAACAGAAGTCAACTCACCTGCAGGCAGTAGGCGAGCAGGGAGCGAGAGTTGCCACTCCTGGCGACGGCAGCCTCGAGCTTGTCAAGGCGGGGGCACTCCAGCGAGCAGGAAAGTCAATCAAAGTCAACGGAAGTCAACCCACCTGCAGGCAGTATGCGAGCAGCGAGCGCGAGTTGCCACGCCTGGCAACGGCAGCCTCAAGCTTGTCAAGTGAAATTCACCCTACTGAAACTAAGCCCCAGAAAGTCAATGCAATTCTTGGTTGAGTAAAAATCAACCCACCTGCAGGCAGTATGCCAGCAGCGAGCGCGAGTTGCCACGCCTGGCAACGGCAGGCTCCAGCTTGTAAACAAACTCCGCTTTAGTGAGACCACGACCCAAAAAGGTAGTGCATTTTTGGCTGAGCTCGCCCTAACGGATAAGTGAGAACTGCCTACCTACAGGCAATAGGCGAGCAGGGAGCGAGAGTTGCCACTCCTGGCAACGGCAGCCACGAGCTTGTCAAGGCGGCGGCACTCCAGCGCGCAGGGAAGTCAACAGAAGTCAACGGAAGTCAAAAGAAATCAACCCACCGGCAGGCAGTAGGCGAGCAGCGAGCGCGAGTTTGCCACTCCTGGCGACGGCAGCCTCGAGCTTGTCAAGGCGGCGGCACTCCAGCGCACAGAGAAGTCAACAGAAGTCAACGGAGGTCAACCTACCTGGAGGCAGTAGGCGAGCAGGGAGCGAGAGTTGCCACTCCTCGCAACGGCAGCCTCGAGCTTGTCAAGGCGGCGGCACTCCAGCGCCACTCCGATGGCCTGCTGGAACTGACGCTCCTCAATGCAGCTGGAATGAGGGTAGAGAGGCAAGGGGAGAGGTGAGAGGGGTGGGGAAGGTGGCGAATAAAGAGGAGTGAAAACGGTCACTGACTGCAGGTCAGTTATCCTCTCGCACATGCATGCAGCAAGGGCAGCAAGAGCAGCACTCACTTGTCGAGCATCCTCTCTACGATGGCCATGAGGCGCGGGTCAAGAGGAGTGATAACGGTCACACACACCAGGTCAGCCTTCCGCTTGAACATGCATGTGAATCATCACAACAACAAGAGCACCGCTCACTTGTCCAGCATCCTCTCTACGATGGCCACGAGGCGCGGGTCAAGAGGATAGTCGGCGTCGGGGTCATGGGAATCCACACAGCAGGTTGGCCCTCCTCTCGCACATGCACGTTAATCATCCCAGCAGCACAAGCACTCACTTGTCCAGCATCCTCTCTACGATGGCCACGAGGCGCGGGTCAAGCGGATAGTCGGCGTCGGGGTCATGGGAATCCACACAGCAGGTTGGCCCTCCTCTCGCACATGCACGTTAATCATCCCAGCAGCACAAGCACTCACTTGTCCAGCATCCTCTCTACGATGGCCACGAGGCGCGGGTCAAGAGGATAGTCGGCGTCAGGGTCATGGGAGTCGGCGCGCTTGACACTGAGATCCATGTACTCGTCAATGCACTTGGCTGCAGGGGGCATGGGGCATGGGGCATAGGGCATGGGGAGACCCAAGGATAACACATGGAGCATTGGGTCGAGTGGATAGTCGGCGTCGGGGTCATGAGAGTCGGCGCGCTTGACACTCAAATCCATGTACTTGTCAATGCACTTTGCTGTAAGGGGCACAGCGAAACAAAATAGTAGCGGGGAATGATCCACAGGGCAATGAGGGACACAGGAATAGCACAGGGGGCGAATGGTGCACATTGGGTCATGGGATTCGGTGCTCTTGACACTCAAGTCCATGTACTCGTCAATGCACTTGGCTGTAAGTGGCATGGGACACAGACACACCCGAGACGGGGAAGTGATTAACAGGACACTGAGACCAAGGATAGTCGGCGCCGGGGTCAAGGGAGTGCATGACATTCTGAAACTAAGATCCATGTACTTGTCAATGCACCCATGTACCCATGTACCCACGCACCCATGCGCCCGTTCGCCCATGCACCCACGCACGCACCAATGAGCGTCTGCACGTATTCCGAGTCCTCCGAGACGTCAAAGAGGGACCCCGCGCCAAGCGCGTACGTGAGCGAGTCGGTGAGCTCGCCCAGATAGTAAAACACCTGCACAGGTGAACCCATGCACGCATACGAGAGGAAAAGGTTGAAGTTCGTTTGCACTGCGTTGAGCACAAATATGGGAGCACTAGAGAGTCGGTGAGCTCGCCCAGATAGTAGAACACCTGCATACGCGCATGCACGAGCGGGACAAGAAAGAGCAGAGTTGAAGTTGGTTCACACAGTGTTAATTGAGCACAATGTGGGAGAGCACTTCAAAGTCGCTCCCCCAGATAGTAGTAGAACACCTGCAGAGGCGCATGCACGCGCGGGACAGAAGGAATGATGTCAGTTGATTCAGTCAGTCTTGATTCAGTCAGAGGGAGCACTCAAGAGTGGGTGGGCTGGCCCAGATCGTAGAACGGACCGACAGAAACACCAGCATTTGTGCAAGGACAAGGGGGTAGGTAATAAAGAGTCAAGCGAATTACTGAGGAGGGACACAGTAAAGACCATGCTATACGATGCGTCAGAGAGAAATAGTTCTGAGAAGCAACTGATCCATACCGTGAACATCTGATGGGCACCTGATACTGACGAATACCTCATGAAAACCTGAAGAACACCTGATGGATTCTTGAAAAGCACCTGAAGAAGGCCAGACAATAATTACCTTGGAGGCCAGAAGAGCCGCCAGCTCGCGATGGTCGAACGTCTCATCCTCGTACAAGCTCTCACTGAACAGATTCAACCGAGAATAAAGACGGGGAAAATAACGTAACAGACATGCTTACTCGTCTTCGAATGTACAAACACAACGGATAGAGGCACGTAACGCACTGGTTACACTGTTGAAGGGCGACGAGGTTAGGCGTGGAGTAAGATGTGCGAGTAACCACATCCACGATCTACAAATCTACAAACTTAGTCAATATACGAAGTGAGCATTTCGCAAAGCGACTGAGCGGCCAGAATGGTTTGTCTGAGACTCCTGAACTACCAACGACTCTTGTCTGACAACTTTGTTTGAGTCCTGACAAATTCCGTCTACCCAATATGACATATGTCCACCTGCACCAGATTATCGAACCGACTAAATACCCAGAATGATACTAAAGTCGACCTAATGGCACGCAACAACCTATCCAATTCCGTGTGATGGAATTCAACATGTCATGGAGGCACCATAAACCGAAATTCGCCAAGTGAGGTCCACTAGCTTCCCGATCCATATAGACCAAACCAGCGAGGGAGAGGTTTTCCGACCTCCGTCTCATAATCACTAGGAAAGTCGAATTCTCGTAAAAGTAAGCTGTCCATATAAGAAAATTCACAAACATCTCTGACATAAGGATCTCACAGGCTGGAAACTGATTGAATACTACTCGCTTCGTCCTTAATCATAACGAATCTTCACGATTATGTAGGCCAGCCTACCACGAACGAAGAAAAATGGGTATGACCAAAAGCGACACGGCACAGCTGAAGCTCGAGGTCAGGCCACCCGCGATCTCGATCTGATCGGCTAGCGTTTTCGCATACGCCTTGTCACGGTCGACTGATTTAATCCCCTCAAAGGCCAAATTCTCGTACATCCACCGTCGCGGTCGTGTGGCGTGCGAAACCTAGTTGCTAGAGTGTCGACACGCTTATAATCCCAAGCTGAAACACCGGAATGTCAGACTATCAAGCCAATATTTCACGCTACGAAGACGATCGATTGGTCGCAGCTGGCGTCTAAATCGGGGATTTACATTATAGATCTATAATCTATAATAGTCCTGCAATTACCTATGCTAAAATCGCAGGCTAAAGCTCAAACTCCTAACGAGAGACTGGCTGCAGAAGCAGATTAGTAAGAACGCGCGGGCTTCAAGGTATCGAGGAGATTAACTACGTCCTTACATGGTGGAGATGTTCGCGGAGATCTCGGCCCAGAACTGGCCGACGAGCAGATTCAGATTCTTAAGAGCGTACACGCGGAGAGCCGGTTCTTCCTCGTCGAGCATGGCCAGCAGGCCGCTCGCACTGGTAATGACCGTCATGGCTGCGACTAGAACCGCGAATCGGCTCCGATCGGCGATTTGACAATCCTGGTTCTTGGTTCTAGTCTGGATCGGGAATTAGAGCCGTTAGAGGCTCCGTACAGCCGAATCTCGGAATGAACTGTTCTCAGCTGCCTGCTTGCTCTAATTCAAGCAGGATTCGCGATGTGTCAGCGAACTGGCGAAACAGCAGGAACTTTTTGGGTTGCGAAACAACCCTTTACAATCGATTTTGACAAATTTTCTTTTCATGTTTTTTATTTAACATGAAAATAAAATTCGTAAGCTACAGTACCACCCTTCCCATTGTGCATATATTAACTTCTTTTTTATTATAGTAGTTTTTTGCCTATATGCTATACTGTTTGCGTTTTATGTTTTACTGCTTGCCGTTGTTGTGATAATTGCATGTAAAAAATATTACGAATATGAGTAATGAAGTACATACCACACATGCTTAAATGAATGTAATGCGGCAAGATATATAGATGCATAATACTGATACATGGATGAAAATGCTTTTCCATGAAGCGAAATGCTGAAATGCAACATACGGGATGTCATACAAATGCGTGATAGTTAACGACCCAAAAACTAGGCTACCGCATCCCCTGCCTAGCATGGGGGGGAAGCCAATAGCAAAGTCATTGAATAATAAACCAACACATGAAAAAATGCAATCTGTTAACTCTAAAAAAGAGGTTCACACTATCAAATCCAGTTCGAAGTGGCAAACACACGAGTCACTGAGTGCGCCAATGAACCAATGAGAAATGATAGAAATGAACCCCTTTTTTAAAATTGACAGACATGCATTAATATTGCAATGATCAATGAGATGAATGCACTCTCACAATCAAACACATTCACACAATCAAAAGCACAAACAGCAGCAAACCCAGCCAAAACACGCGATAATAAATAACATGCAAATCAACATTAAATGGACAATATGACAAGATAAATCCTGAAAGTGACCAATACACATTTTCCAGATTCAAATCCCCTTCCTGAGCAGCAAGACTCCTGAGAAACGGGTTTAGAATGTAGAAAGGAGGAACGAAAGAAATAGTCGGTACAAAAAAAAAAACAGAAAAGGAAATGAGGTGTGATGAAATGACGAGATGCAGGAATAACCAAGAAACGAATGAAACAATACAAGGGCTAAGAAAAACGCCGTGAGCATTGAAAGGTTATAGCCGACAAATAGAAAGGAGGTACAGAGGCATAAAACGAAAGTAAGGAACGGGAACAGAGGGAAAACACATAAGAGCTAGGTCGTACGGAATGAACGAACGAAGGAGGACATGAAGACCATGCAAGAGGATGTGAAACCGAAAATTAGAGAAAATAGGATGTGAGATGACGGACTGAAAGAAGAAGAGAAGAGATTAGGAAGAAATACGAACTGGAATATCTAAATAAAAAAACGGAATATGTAAACGGAGAATGCGCAGGACGCTGAGTGTCATCATCGGCATCTAAGAATAGAGGAAGTAAAGCTTATCTAAGAAGCTGTAGGTGAGAGTGGCGGCCTCTCCCTTAGCGCGCCTGGCACGAGCAAAAAGTCACCAACGCGCCAAGCACAAGCAGAACGATTCCAGCAAGAAGTTACAAGAGGGAAAACAAAAGAGAAACACGGACGGAGAGAAAATGAGAAGAGAAATAACAATAGCGGATGGAGAGAGAAGGAAAGGAGAAAGACATACGGAACCTTGAATATGCAACAAAACAGGAGTAACAAGGTAGCAAAAACGAAGGCATGATACAAAAAAACGGAAAGGTAGTCTTCACGTGACGAAGGCATGATCTCGAGTTAACTTTCTCCTAGTCAACTTAAGTAGGCTAACGATAGTCTTAACAAACTAGCAACACTTGCTATTCCTACTCTTCCAGCTGCTGCTACTCTCTTACCTAGAAACTGGAATAGCGTGACAGACAGGAGTGGTTGGAGAAGAAGCAGAGGAAAGGAAAAGAAGGAACGTGAAAAACCTAACCACCTCATTCGTTGCGTACCAATAATTGACTAAAAATACGAAAGAGTATCGACGGTTTAACACAATGGTTTGAGTTTAGCCTCAGGATCGGAAGGTTGCAGGATCGATTCTGGTAGTCGAAATTTAGTCACAGAAAATTTTGTAGTCAAATCTCAATAAAGATTGTTCAGTTTTTGAACATCAAATACAACGTATACAACTAGACAAATAGCTTCGCAACCCTAGGTCGACTTTGTCGCCTCTTGTTTTTTTTTTAATGATAATTGGAAGTATATACCGAGTGTACAAGCATATACTGACAAGAACGGTCGTAACCGTGCGTGAGGAACTAGGGGGAACCCCTTGCTCCAGATAAGATTCTAGGGCCAAGTGTTGTTGGCCCTCCGTGCCGACCATAATGCTGCAAAGCCACTCTTCCACCTTCCCTTGCCATCCTCCCTGATTTTCCCAAGCATGTTCCGCTCCTCCGATGAATCTTGCTGCCTCCGCTTCTGCCACGTTGGCCCCGATCTGTGGTTGTACAGTCTCACATGCTGCCGAAATGCCACCTCAATCCGTCTCAAGACTCGTTGTGTCCGAAACTTTTGCCCCCTGAAGACCGCTTCACACCGCTCGAGCCATAATTGGTGCAAAGTGATTGATATCAGCGTCAGCTCCGGAAAAGCTGAGCTGGTTCCAGCCTCCTGAAACAGAAGATCACCCAGCGTGACTGTCGTGCGGCTGGGATTTAGCATGCCCAGAGCGCGCCGAAGGGCCCCGGAAACCATCTGGATCTTGGGGCAGAGGACCAGGCAATGCTCCAAAGTCTCAGTTTCCCCGCAATAAGGGCACACCGGCTTGCTGCTGAGGAACGCCAGTCTCTCCCCCACTTGCAGATTCAGACCGTGAATTCTGGTAAGCACATCACGTGGACGGTTAGGAACCGCCAGCGAGTCTCGCGTGTTCACAGCCCGTTTCCAATCAATGACTCCACCCCAGCGTGCCGCCCATTTTGCACGCTTGTAGGATTCCTTCCGAGCCTCTACCCAACTCTCCTTCATCTTCTTCAAGGGAATTATGTGCCCCTCCTCCAGGATCACCAACTGCTGAAGAGAGTCAGCCGAACAGGGGAGTACAGTCGGAAAGCCTAACTCTCTGCTCCACCTAGCTGGTATCGACCCCACAGCTTTTAGTGCCAGCTTCGCCGGGGCACTGCTGCCCAGGAGTGCCGTTAGCTCTGCAACCGACTTCTGCAATAGCACCCCATCCTCACTTCGTGAGAATAAATCCCCAAGCCACAGGTCCCATAGCTTCCTGGCATCCTTTTGTCCCCCGATCGGAGTGGTCCCGCGCATCAGTATGTTTTTGTTAAAAACAACCCGCTCCTGTAGGATCTCTTCTCTCGTTCTGGCTGGACCACGTAGACACAGCGGCGAGCCGGAGAGGCTTTCGCACGTCTGCTTCCAGCGGACACTTCCGCCTTCCCAGTTTTTGAAGAGCTTTTCATGGGCCCCAAACGAGTCGACGCCCAGAGGAAGCTTCGCCGCCCGCTCCATCAAATCTTTCTTTAAGTAGTTTTTTTCCGTGACGTATAATCCCGCCCTTCTCGCCGCCAGACAGGTGATAACGATCTCCGGGTCTCTAACTCCAATTCCGCCCGCCTCTCTCGTCGTGTATAGCAGAACTTTGCTCCAGAGAAAGAAGCCTTTTGCCGCTGATACTCTGTTGCCAGATAAGAAACCATGCAGCATACGCACCAAGTCCTCCCAGACCTCTGCAGACGGCGGGTAGACTTGAGCTTGGAACGCGATCAACGGAGTAATGTAAAAATTCACCACCGATGCACGCGCCGCCGTCGTCAGGTACTTCTGCTTCCATTTCACCAACTTTTCAGCGACACGACCGATTGCCTTCTCCCATGTCGCTTGCCCATCCCCCGAGGGAGACACCCATACCCCCAGCAGGCGTTCAGCGTCATTTGCACCGGCCCATTTGAAGTCAGACGAGCCGTCCGCCGCCTCTCCGATATTAATCCCCAGAGGTAACACCACGGATTTCCCTTTATTTGTTGCCAGACCTGCTGCTTTTTCGAAATTGTCCAAAATCTCTTCCGCCTTAACAATTTGCTCTTTCCCATGCAGAATGAGCGTCGTATCATCAGCGTAACTGAGGTAGCTCAGCTGCTGCCCATCCTTGTCAAGCCCCAGCTTTGCCTTCTCCACCTCCTGAGCCAAAGGCTCCACCGCACACAGGAAGAGGTAAGGGGCAAGAGGGCAACCCTGCCGTACCCCCGAGACCACAGTTAATCCTCCCCCGAGCCAGCCGTTAACCAGCAGCTTCGTCGTGGTGTTTTCATGCAGGCCCTCAATCCAGCCAACATATCGCTCCGGAAACCCCATTTTTCGAAGCACCTGGAAGAGAAAATCTCTTGACACCGAGTCAAAGGCCTTCTGGAAATCAACCAATAGCATGTACCAGTCCGCCTTCTCGTTTCTCGCCACATCAATGACGTCAGCCACCAGCGCGACCGCGTCAGACAGTCGCTTCCCCGGGATAAAACCATACTGCTCCGGTGAGATGACTTGATGCAGGACCCGCTTCATTCTGTCCGCCATTACTTTTGCCAGCACCTTATATGTGAAATTGAGAAGCGTGATGGGCCTGTAGTTATTTAACTGGTCCCTGTCACCCTTCTTGTGCAACAGGATCGTGACCGCCTCCTTGAGTTCCCCCGGGAGCGAAGCTGACCGTTCGAAGTCTTTGACCATAGCCATGAAACTATCCCCCAGCAGGTCCCAGTGACACTCGAACAGCTCCTTGGGAAGACCGTCCCTCCCTGGTGATTTGTTCCTCGCCATTGATGTGAAAGCTGCTTTAACTTCCTGCTCTGACCAATCTGCCTTTAACATGTCCTCTGCTTCTTTCCCCAAGCACCGGCTTGGATTAAACACCCAGCTCGAGAAATCCGTACGTCGGTCTGTGCCGAAGATGTTATTGAAAAAGACCGACGCAGCACCAAGAATTTGCTGCACCCCAGTCACCGTGCGACCACCTTCCCTCAGCTCCTTGATTTGAGTGCGAGCCTTCCTCGCTCGGACTTTTGCAGACAGATGTTTTGAGGCGATTTCACCGGTCAGCTCCTCTTTCAATCCGGCCTGCAGGTGCAGCCTCTCCCTCCTCGCTTCCTGGTACGATTTCAGCTGCAGTTCCTTAGCTGCAAGCGCATCCCGTGTAATACTGCATGTCGGATTCCGCATCAACTCTTGTTTCAGCAGCGCAACCATGCTGACCAGATGACCCAGTGTTTTCTTAACACGTTTGCTTTCCTCCCGTGCATACGCCCTTAAACCAGCCCCCAGCCGAGCAAGTAGGAGCTCAAAGCTGCTGCCATCTTTCACCGTCGTTCTGCAAACTGTAGCCTCAATAATCTTCCGCACTCCCGGCCTCCGTACCATCGAGGCATGAAGCCTCCAGATGCCCGGACCTGTGCAGATTTTCTCATCCAGACGGAAAGCAACTTGGATCGCGAAACCATGGTCCGAGATGGGCTCCTTCGGCATGTCATGCCTGGCGGTAACAAGGTGAGTTAAAAGCGATTGTGAGACAAGTGCACGATCAATGCGAGTGCTGCAGCGATGCGAGTGCGCATAGAATGTGTATTCTCTGTCCCGTGGGTGCAGAGTGCGAAAGGCGTCGGAAAGTTGGAAAGTGGTGCAGCGCAAGAGGAGCTTCTCATTTTCAGTCGACGAGCCTGAGCCTGAGGATCTGTCCAGCTTTGGATCGTCCGTCAGGTTCAAGTCACCGATGATAAGAAGGTGAGAGGAAGGCGGAACTGTGTCAATGACCGGGCCAAGGACATCTCTGATGAAGGCGGAGCGAGGAGTAATGTGTGACGGAAGGTAAACGGCAACCAGTGTGAGGTCTAGTCCAGTCCCTTTAACTGTTGTCTTGACTATTCTACCTGACGGGTGTAACTCCGTGTCATGAAAAGTGATGTTATCATCGCTACAGAGGATTGCTACTCCGCCAGCGCTGGCTCTAGGGGGATTAACTAAGGCTTCGTACGAGGTGAGTCTTGACCAGAAGGAATGGCTATTATCTATCCTAGTGTCAACCAGTACAGCAATGTCCGCCGAATCTTTCATCCATTTGGTAACTCGCTCCTGTTTTATTCTATTTGTTCCTAAGCCGTTGACGTTCAGGCTCGCGATGGTGAGGTAGTTTTTATTAATCATTGATACACTGTCTTGCAGCCCCTGATCATCCACAGGCTGAGAAATGAGGCGACGCAAGCTACACTGACTCCTAAACACCAACAGGCTGCTGCGTCAAGGTAACGGTCGAGCTCAGTCACAGTTTGTACTCCGTGCGAATGACATCCAGGTTCAGTTTGTCGAGCGACTCCTTCGTGGCCGGTCCATCTTTCTTCAGCTCGAGCAGGTGAGCAGCAGCAGTGATGTGCTGGACGGCAGCCATAAGACTCTTCCCTTTTGCTTTTCCGCAACCCGCTAAAGTGCAGATCCAGTCTTCCTTGCTGCTGCCGGTGGAGACGAGAGCGATAGCCGGATCTCGGAGGATGGGAAGAAAAAACGAGGAGGCTTTCAGCGACGCAGCTGCGAGAGGTCAGAGAGAGATTAGTACGTGAGAGGGAACGCCGAAGCCGACAAAAAGCGAGAAGAAAACTGCTGCTGTTACCGTTAAGTCTGTGCACACTGCCAAGGGTTAGTTTCCACTTGCTAACATTATTCTGACGCTCAGTGACAAAAGCATCATGATACTTATCATAATGCTTGCCGCCACAAAGTGAGCAGGTCAATGAAGGGTACTGAATGAGCAACTTCTTCGCCCTGTCAGCAGGATCAGCGATCATGTGAATCATGCGACGATTCCTGTTCTCAGGGTGAGCGTAGACAAGTCCCTTAACGACGTCCGTGTCAGCACCAGTGACGGGATGAAGCACACGATGCAGACACGAGCAGCGCAGGAAGGCCGACCGCTTTGTGCTGGTAAGCGGGTAAGTCGCCATGCGATCATGAATGAGGACCAGCTCAACGGCTGCGGAGACACCGGTGATCATGAACTCGATGGCGAGCGGATTCATTGCCTTCTCACGAGCAAAAGCCGCATCCTCCGTATGTTGCCAGTGAAGAGAAATGAGTTGTCCCTTGTTCGCCAGCGGTTGATATATCACTTCCTTTTTCCGCACCCATTCCGCATCTGACTCCTTCTTGAACGATACTTGCAGGCGACAATAACGTGTCTTGGCGATATATGTCGTCTTAATCTCCTGAAACTTTGTCGCAGATGCCGTGTCCTCTGATAACTCTGTGTACCATCCATGTGTTATTAGTGCTTTGACAGCGTCAATGATGCAGGAAATCTCCTTGTGCAGCATGAAAGGAATCAGCAAGATCGCGACAGAGCGCAGACCGAGACCAGCTTCCTTGTCCAAGTCGATAACCATTTCCTCATCCGAATCGTAATCAATGAAACCATCGTCATCAGTTACTCCCACGGAAGGTATGGTTGCTTTATCTTCTGCAGACAGTCCAGAACCACCAGAATCTGACGACACCGTCTTGTCAATGCCATGAACTGCAGGGGACTTGACAGTCTTGGAGCTATCAGTCTCCGTTGGAGCAGGCAGAAAAGGGGTCAACCGCGAGCGCTGACCCTTTGGCGGAGCAGGAGCATCAGCAGGATGAGACATTGTGTGATGATGAGTAAGACCAGGCAGCAGGAGAGCGTGCCGAGCACTCTCTGTGAATGCAGTGAATGTCTGGTGACTGAGCACAAGAAATTTAAATAGATCCCTGAACTTGTCTGGCTCCAGGGGTTCCAGCAGTAGATGTTGTAATCTCGAGGTTGAGACCTTGGTAGCTCCATTGATGATGATAGAATAATAGTTATGAAGCGTAGTGTTGTCATTAATATAAAAACCATGACGCGAGCCTGAAACAGCTGTGAGTCTCGAGGGAGCCTGACCTTGACCACGGGAAGCAGCCTTGTAATAGGAGTTACCGATGTCAGCATCAATGACAGGTAATCCATTCCTAAAGTTAAAGGCAGTACACTTGATCCCGATAGTCAGCTTAGTGAGGCATGTATGCGAGAATGTTGACTGCATTTGACTCGATGAAATCCATGGCCGCCTGATGGCGGAGAAGGCGGAGGCGGAGGCGTCCATGTATTCAAGGGAAAGGATGCAGTGACGTATGAAACAGCAGGAACTGTTCGATGTTGCTGTTTCGGTGGTGTTACAAGAGACAATGTGATATTTCACTAAATATAGAATGAAGCACAACTGCTATCGATATAGTGGCGAGTGCTTCTACAGTAAGAAAATTCCACCGTGAAATGGGCTTGTGATTCGTGATAGTGTCAGCAAATCAATAACAGCTCGTGACCAGCTTCGAACATTGGTGGGTTTAGGGAACTAATACTTATGCGTTGCACTGCTTCTAGACTACCACGAAAAAACATTGCACCTGACCAAACCATACAAAGCCGATTTTACCTTAACAAATGAAACTCTCGCGTTTTGAACTTGCTTCAGCTATGGGTAGGAGAATTTGATCTCACTTCAGCCAGGCTGTAACATATCCAATGAAACGGTACTTGGTGTGATGTTCTACCATCCTAGTTGGAGGATGTGCAACCAGGATATGACTCACAATTTCAAACATCAGCAACCTGCATTCTTCAATTCTGGTGTCTACAATGACAATGCACCAAGAGTAGACCACCTGCGTAGGGTATTGAACAAACACATCTGGTACAGTTCAAAATTGGTTCTTCAGTTGTCGACGAAACTTACCGTATTTGCCACTGCACGTTACTTCTGAAAAGGATTCGGTGCTGTGGATGACCCTGAAGGCTTTCCGAAAGTTGCCGTACTGCCAGTAGGGTTTGCTAAGTTAAATGGCGGAGGGGAGGGGAAGGGAGATGGCTGTCCAGCAGCAGCAGAAGCAGCAGCAGCAGCAGCAGCTGCAGAGGAGCTGTCTGGGCCCTTTTGGGAGAAAGGACTGGAGGGAGTTGCAGATGCGAAAGAGAAAGCTGGCGCTGATGACCCGAATGCTGGCGCTGACGATCCGAACACTGGCGCTGATGTCGCAAATGCTGGCGCTGACGATCCAAATGCTGGCGCTGACGATGCAAATATGCTTGATGCTGATGGCTGGCTTGGTGCAATAGCAGCTTGGCTTGAAGGTGCTCCTGTTGCTGCCGCTGCTTTCACCTCAGGAAAGGGCCTGTATGCAGAACCAGAAAAAAGAGACAATACAGTGTTGAGGCGAGAGAAGAGGAAGTGAAGGAATAGAGAGCAGCTATTGGTAGTTATAGCGTGAAGGGCGACCAACACCCACTGATATCTCAGCTCTTGGCAGCAGCAGCAGCCTTCAATAAGCTTCCAGGATAACACTTTCATCCCATGTGCTCGCCTGAACACACCAACCGAGTCCTTGAAAACTGCAGCAGGCTTGCTGTTGCTGCCCTATGGAACATCACCATAGCACGCAGGGTCTGGTAACCGGGTAACCCTGCATAGTGCTCACCTGAACACACCAACCGAGTCCTTGAAAGCTGCAGCAGGCTCGTTGCTGCTCCCGCTGTTGGTGCTGCTGACAGTGGAATGACTCACGCCCTTGGGCTCACCGAATGGTCTGGTAACCAGGTAACACTGAAGCGCTCACCTGAACACACCAACCGAGTCCTTGAAAGCTGCAGCAGGCTCGTTGCCGGTGGTGGTGCTGGTGGTGAAATGACCCACGCCCTTGGGCTTACCAAACGAAGGCACCCCACCTCTCCCGAACAAAGCGCTTCCTCCTGATTGGCTACCCCCTCCGAACAAACTGCTTCCCGAACCAAACAACGGGGCTGCCGAACCAGCAGGACCGGCAGCAGCAGCAGTAGCTGAAGCTGTTGCAGCAGCAGAAGAACCACCACCAGCAGCAGCAGCACTCGGGCCCTTATCACCACCAGCACCACTCAATCCTCCCTCTGTCCCACCCCTGGCATTCTCCTGTGACTGTGTGGTATCAGGCTCTGATCCGTCTTGAGAAACCCGCATGCCAAACAGGGGGTTCTGATGCAACACCTGCGCATTTTCCAGGGGTACTGGCGCTGTTGCCCCTCTTGCTAAGGGCACTGGACTGGTGCCTACGGGTCCTTGCTGCCCAAACTGCCCAGATCCAAAAAGTTTTCGCTGAAGCGGGAGCTCTGATTGGCTGGGAGCAGTGGGAGCAGCTGTAGCAGTTGAAGTGAAAGGCGGAGGGGAGGCAGGAGCTGCTGGAAAGGAGAAGAGTGACAGTGGTGGCTGCTGCTGCTGCTGCTGCTGCTGCTGCTGCTGCTGCTGCTGCTGATGTTGCTGCTGCTGTTGAGATTTGCTAGAGGATTTCGGGAACGAGAGGGGAGAACCTGAGAGGGATGCTGCACCCGCCCCACCACAAAGTATCGGAGAGCCGAAGTGGGGTGCGGGAGCAGCTTTGGGAGAGGAGGCCTTAGCTGAAGGCGACTGAACTGGCTGCATGGGCTTGCGTGGCAGGGCTGCAGCGGAAGGAACTTTGGTGATTGCTTTGGGTTGACTTCTGGCGTCTGGCTTGACTAGTCCTGTTCTGGCTGGGATGGCTGTGGTGGTTGTGGTGGGGAAGGCAGAGGGTTCGCCATGTGCTTGGACGATCTGCTGGTGCTCGGAAGGAGCGATGAGTCGAAGCACTGACTCCTGGGGAAGGGGAAGAAGGGAGAGGGAGGTGGGGAGGGGGGCGTGAGGTGGAAGGCAGACGGTTTGCCGTGTGCTTGGATGAAAGGGAGCAGTCAGTTTTGAGCGTCAGTTTTGCTGCTTGGACGGTTCGCCGTGTGCTTGGACAATTTACTGGTGCTCTAAAAGGGAGCAGCCAGTATAAGGGCGCAAACCCTGGGGAGAGGGGGAAGGGAGGGGTGTGGAGGAAGGAGGGGGGGACAGATTGGTGGGTGCAGGTTTTGGGGGGGGAAGCAGTAGGAGGAAACAAACGGTTGTATCAACATGTATGCAACTGATAGAGCATACATGTTTGGTACACGTTCGGTTCATGTCCCGAGGTTAAATGCTATGAACCGTTACAAACCTCCCTCTCTTCTGTTTTTTTCTCGTTTTTATTCTAATGACAGACACGTACCAGCAGCCTTATCCTCTTTTCGCGCAGCCGAACCGTCAATCCCTTCGCCCCTCTCCTTTTTCTTGCTCCATTCGCTGCAACACCAGCAGCAGCACCAGCAGCAGCAGCAGAACCAGCTGAAGCATCCATAGGACTTCCTCCTCCTTCCTCCTCCTCTCCATCCTCACTCCCTCCCTCCTGTCCGTCCTCCTGCTGCCCCTCCTCATCCCCGTTATTGGCATCTTCACTCTCCTGCTCTGCCTCTACTGCTGCCTCTATAGCCCAGACTTGCTTGTGCGCCAACAGTGCTGCCTTGTACCGTGCCCTCTGCAAGAAAAAAAAAAACAGGAAAGGAAGGAGGGAAAGGGGAAATGAAGAGTGTGAATGGGAAAGGGTGAAACAAACGCGAGTACCAACGTAATATACCCACCTAATTTATGGCCCACACTGGCTTGTGCACTGATAGTCCTACCTTGTAGCGAGCCCTTGAATCAAAAGAGCAAGGAAGTGGGAAGGGGAAAAGGAGGAGTGCAGATGGAAACACCTCGAGTAACCTGACACACAAAAGGTTACCTTTCGAAAAAGCACGAGAAGGTAACCTTCTCATGTGGAGGTACGGTAACCCTGACAGAGAGACACACCTCGCGTACCCAGACACACACGAGCACACCTCCACATGGAAGAGCACGAGAAGCGTGCCACATGCCCCCTCTGGCTGCAGCCGCCCCCTCCCAGAGAGAGGAGACATATGTACCACACATGAGCCCAGATGACCCTCTATACACACGAGCTCACCTCCACATGGAAGAGCACGAGAAGCGTGCCGCATGCCCCCTCTGGCTGCTGTGCCGTGCGAGTTAACAAGCAGCGCTGTAGCACTGCTCCCTCCCTGCCCCTCCAGGGGAACGCCAGCACCTCGGGCACTGCCTGGTGTCTCACTGCTAGCCAGAAGAGCTCCGATACAAGCACATCCACTGCTTCTGTATAAACACCCTTGGCTGCTTCGTTAGTAGCACTCTCAACAGCAGCAGCAACAGAAGCATCCGCACCATCAGCAGCAGCATCAGTAGCGTCAGCATATAGGTGGGGAGAAGAGGGGTCGTTGACATGTGGTTGCTTGCAGTAGGCTCTAAGGTACAGGAAAGCCTCTGTTAAGAGCCGATTCTCTATAAGCACTCGCAGCGCAGTAACCGCTTCCTCCAGAGGCACCGCCAGGTCCGGAAATATGGGGGTTGCCGCCGAGCCTGGGGTGCTGCTGGCTTGGAAGATTGCCGGGCCTGGGCTGCAGGCTCGGAGGATCTGGAGCGCAGGCTCGGGCTTGCCTCGTTCGATCAGGACTCGAGCGATTCGGGGATGGATGGGAGGGGCCGTGGAGGAGGAGGAAGAGGAGGGGGAGGAGAGGGAGATGAGGTGGGGTATCAGCGAGCAAGCCTCCTGCAGACAGAGAGAAGACGAGAGGAGAAAGGGGAGAGAAGAATATGCAGCGCAACGCAAAAAATTTGGCAGCATACTGTCAACATCGTCTTTGCCACATTCTGTTTTGCAACTTTGTCTCATTTCCCAAAACAAAGCTGCGGAGCGATGGAAAGGCTTTAGCTGCGGAGCGATGGAAAGGCTTTAGCAGCATACCGTCACGTCAAAAGCACTGTCTACGCCACATTGTGTTTTGAGACGTCCCAAAACAACGTTGCAGAGCAATGAGAAAATTCTAGCAAGCAGCATATCGTCACGTCAACATCGTCTCTGCCACATGCCCAGCACCCATGTTCAAGCACCCATGCAAGCAGCACATGCAGCAGCAGATGCAAGCACATTCAATCTCCACGCAAACATGTGAGCGATTTTTGAGAATTCTCAAAAATCGCTCACACGTGTTTGGAGATTGAAGGCATCGCCAAGCATGTACCTTCAATCCCTCCTCTGTGCCTTCATCAAGCATCACCATCACCATCACCATCACCATCACCATCACCATCACCATCACCATCGTCTCCACCACGTGCCCATCACCCACGTCCAAGCAAGAAACCAGGCATGTAAAACAGCTGCTCTCATCCATGCACGCACAGATACACCCGCCTCTACCCCTCTCACTCCTGCAGCTGGCAGGCACACACCCACTTGCTTCCAGCCCCTCCTCTGTCTGTTCATCCAGCATCACCATCACCATCACGATCACCATCACCATCACCATCACCATCACCATCACCATCACAATCAGCATCAGCATCAGCATCAGCATCAGCATCACCATCACCATCACCATCACCATCACCATCAGCATCACCATCAGCATCACCATCACCATCACCATCACCATCACCATCACCATCACCATCAGCATCACCATCACCATCAGCATCACCATCAGCATCACCATCACCATCACCATCACCATCACCATCACCATCACCATCACCATCAGCATCAGCATCAGCATCAGCATCAGCATCAGCATCAGCATCAGCATCACCATCACCATCACCATCACCATCACCATCACCATCGTCTCCACCACGTGCCCATCACCCACGTCCAAGCAAGAAACCAGGCATGTAAAACAGCTGCTCTCATCCATGCACGCACAGATACACCCGCCTCTACCCCTCTCACTCCTGCAGCTGGCAGGCACACACCCACTTGCTTCCAGCCCCTCCTCTGTCTGTTCATCCAGCATCACCATCACCATCACGATCACCATCACCATCACCATCACCATCACCATCAGCATCAGCATCAGCATCAGCATCAGCATCAGCATCAGCATCAGCATCAGCATCACCATCAGCATCACCTCAGCATCACCATCACCATCACCATCACCATCACCATCACCATCAGCATCACCATCAGCATCACCATCACCATCACCATCACCATCAGCATCACCATCACCATCACCATCAGCATCACCATCAGCATCACCATCAGCATCACCATCACCATCACCATCACCATCACCATCAGCATCAGCATCACCATCACCATCACCATCAGCATCAGCATCAGCATCAGCATCAGCATCAGCATCAGCATCACCATCACCATCACCATCACCATCACCATCACCATCAGCATCAGCATCAGCATCAGCATCAGCATCAGCATCAGCATCAGCATCAGCATCAGCATCAGCATCAGCATCAGCATCAGCATCAGCATCAGCATCACCATCAGCATCACCATCAGCATCACCATCACCATCAGCATCAGCATCAGCATCAGCATCAGCATCAGCATCAGCATCACCATCACCATTGTCTCAACCGCGTGCCCATCACCCACGTCCATCCATGCAGGCAGGCAAGCACAGCTGCACCCATATGTAGCACCACATGCATCAAACACATACCTTCAATCCCTCCTCTGTTTGCTCATCCACCATCACCATCACCATCACCATCGTCTCCACCGCGTGCCCGTCACCCACGTCCATGCTCGCCCCAAAGTCCTCCACCATCCCTGTATAGTGCATCCTTGCTTGCACACACACCCAACAAACACACACCCAACAAACACACACCCAACAAACACACACCCAACAAACACACACCCAACAAACACTCACCCAACAAACACACACCCAACAAACACTCACCTCTAAACCCTCCTGGCTCTGTTCATCTAGTAACACCATCACCATCGTCTCCACCACGTGTCCGTCGCCCACGTCCATGCACGCCCCAAAGTCCTCCACCATCCCCCGCCACCGCTGCTGCCCCTCGCTCCGCCCGCCCTGGTAGAAGCGATCAATGAGGTAGTATAGGAACTGGGCAACGGCAGGAGAGGAGGGAGAGGAGGGAGAAAGGAGAACAAAGGGAGCAAAGGGAGCAAAGGAAAACATCATGAGCCCAGGAACTGTCACCGCTGCTGCCCTTCACTCTGCCCTCCCTGGTAGAAGCGATCGATGAGATCGTAGAAGAACTAGAAGGAGGAAGAGGGAGCAGGGGGGGGAGGGGGTGGGGGAGGTGGTAGCAGAGGAGGTCACTCAATTGTCCTCCACCGGTCTCCACCGGTCTCCACCACGTGGCCTTCACCCACGTCCATGCTCGTCCGAAGTCCTCCCCCCAACCCCCGCCATCTCTTCTCTGCTGCCCCTCGCCCTGCCCTCCCTGGCTGGTAGAAGCGACCAATGAGGTAGTATAGGAACTGGGGAAATAACAGGCGGGGGAAACGTGGGGGAGAGGGCGCGGAAGAGGGGGAGAGAAAGGGGTCAGTCGTCCGCAGTCCTCCCCCAGCCCCCGCCACCACTGCTGCTGCCCCTCTCACCCACGGGGAGCTGGGGCAGAGGAGGTTACTTGGTCCTCCCAGCCCCCGCCACCGCTGCTGCCCCTCGCCCTGCCCTCCCTGGTAGAAGCGATCAATGAGGTAATAGAGGAGCTGGGGCAGGAGGAGAAGGATGAGGGAGCAAGGAGAAGGGTAGTAGGGGAGGTTACTTAGTCTCGACCATTCATGGCCCACGCCATCGCTGCTGCTGCCCCTTGCCCTGCCCTCCCGGGTAGAATCAATCGATGAGGTAGTATAGCACCTGGGTGTACGGTTTTTGAGAATTCTAAAAAAGCATACGCGGTATAGCACCTGGGGCAGGAGAGTGAAGAAACGGAAAGATGGGGGGAAACGGGAGAGATACTAGAAAGTCAAAATGATAATAACAATGAAAGTAATGATTATTATTATACTAATAACAATAACAATAGTAATAATAGTATTACTAACAATAATAACAATAGTAATAATGAACCAAAACAAACCAGAAATACTCACAATTGCTTTCTTGGCCAGAGCTCGATCAGCACCCGCCTCCAAAAACAAAAAATCGACCGCTGCCCGGAAATTCTCCGGCGGGTATTGAAACCCCGCCGCTGCTGCTGCTCCTCCTCCTCCACCCACTAACCCAGGACTCCCTCCCTGCAGGAGAAACTTCCCGGAAGCAGCAGGTGGGGTGGTGGGTACTGGTTGCTTGAGAGACAGCAAGTCAAGCTGGTCGCAACTCAACAGCGAGGGGGTATCAGATATGGGATTCGCACAAGATGCACCACTTGCGCTCTCCTTACTGCCTTCTCTGCTGCTTTCCTTGAGGTTGTCTATTGCGTCATCAATAAACAACAACTTCCCATTCTGCTGCTGCTGTTCCTTTGCCCCTCCTGCTCTCCCTCCCTTGCCTCCCCCCCCTCCCCCTGCTCCAAGCACTGTGCCAGCAGCGCCAGCAGCAGCAGATACGCTAAGGAACTCCGGCCAGGCCGTCTCGTTTGCCGCCTGCTTCCTCTGGCGAATCACGGCGCGCCACGTGGCGTGCGACGAGTGGCGGGGAGGAAGGCCCTCGAAGAATCGGTTCTTGGCAGCCCACTGCATCACGTCCAGATGCTGTTGAGTGGGGAAGCGGAAAGTGAGAGGGTTGGGGGGAAGAGGGGAGAGGAGTGAGGAGGAAGAGGAAAGTGAGAGGGTTGGGTAGAGACAGGTAGAGAGAGGCCCTCGAAGAATCGGTTCTTGACAGCCCACTGCATCGGTTTTTTTTTTTTTTTCATCGGTTTTTTTCTTGACTCAAAAATCGACTCATCACTCTTGGCAGCCCACGTGATGACTTTTGAGGCGCCTCAAAAGCCCACGTGATTCTCACGTGATGCAGTGATGCATCACGTCCAGATGCTGTAGGGGGGAGGGAAGGACAGAGGAAAAGGGGGAACGAATGAGGAGAAGCGGGAAGTGAGGGGGGGGGACAGTGAGGGGGGGAAAGGCCCTCAAAGAAACGGTTCTTGGCAGCAGCCCACTGCATCGCGTACAATGCTGCAGGGAGGGAAGTGAAGGTAAGAAGGGGGCACGGAGGGTAGGAAGGAACAGAGAAGGTGGGTGGGAACGGGCAGAAGAGGTGAGGAGGAAGAAGAGGGGATTACGAGTGGCCGGGAGGAAGGCCCTCGAAGAATCGGTTCTTGGCAGCCCAGTGAATGACCTCCAGATGCCCTCTCCACAGCCCTCCCCACTGCCCTCCCCACTGCCCTCCCCACTGCCCTCCCCACTGCCCTCCCCACTGCCCTCCCCATCACTGCCCTCCCCACTGCCGTCCCCACTGCCCTCCCCACTGCCCTCCCCACTACCCTCCCCACCACTGCCGTCCCCACTGCCGTCCCCACTGCCCTCCCCACTACCCTCCCCACCACTGCCCTCCTCACCACTGCCCTCCCCACCACTGCCCTCCCCACCACTGCCCTCCCCACCACTTCCCTCCCCACCACTGCCCTCCCCACCCCACCACTACCCTCCCCACCACTTCCCTCCCCACTTCCACTCTCAACCAAACTGTGCTGTCAAACTGTGCTGTCAAACTGTGCTGTCAAACTGTGCTGCCAAACTGTGCTGTCAAACGCCTACTGCTCGCACCTGGGATGCTCTCGCAGCTGCTTCCGCCACTCTCACCCACGCCCCTTGCACCTCTCTGTGGCCCCTCGCCCAACCTTTCCTCCCGTCCAAACCTTCCCCCTGTCCCCCCCCTCCAATGCGCTCACCTGGGATGCTCTTGCAACAGCTTCCGCCAGCCTCCCACTCATGCCCCTACCGCCCCTCCGTTCCCCCGCTCCCACCCCCTCCCCTCCCCCTCTCCCACCCCTTCCCCGTTTTCCCCCACTTTCCCCCTTCCAATGCGCGCACCTGGGATGCTCTTGCAACAGCTTCCGCCAGCCTCCCAGCCTCCCACTCATGCCCCTTGCGCCCCTCCATTCCTCCGCTCTCCCCTCTCCCCCCCTCCGCCTCCCCCTGCTGCATCTGCGCCTGCTGCCGCGCCAGGGGGTCGTCTGCGCCCTGCAGTGTTGCCAGCACCTGAGAAATCCCCTGAAGGCGCATGGCCAGGCAGGTGGCATCATCCATGCGACGATCAGTGATGCCAGAGGCGTCTGGAGGGAGGGGGGATTGGAGAAAAAAGGGAGTGAATTTGACTCATGGAAATAGAATGCGAAGGAGGAGAGGAAGTGGGCTGTGTCAGTGCTTGTCATGAAGAAGAGCAGTAGTAGGAGGGGATGTCTTAGCAAAAGATGATAGTCTCTCTAGAAAAAATTGTAACCCTTTGAAGGAGGAGATGGAGTGGGCTGTGCGATCAGTGATGCCTGTGGCGTCTGGATGGAGGAGGGGGGATGGGGGTGGGGATTGGGGATGGGGGAAGGGTGAGGGGGGAAGGAGAACGTGGGGAGGATGGGGGAGAGATTATGGATAGGGGGCTGCGGGGAGAGGGGGTGCGGGGAGAGGGGGTGCGGGGAGAGGGGGTGCGGGGATAGGGGGAGTAGGGTGCGCACAACTGGTAAGGCAGGTGGTGTCACTCATTCGGCAATCAGTGATGCCTGTGACGTCTGGATGGAGGGAGGATTGGAGCAAAAAGGGAGTGAATTTGACTCATGGAAAGTCAAAGGGAGTGAATTTGACTAGGCAGGTGGAGTCACTCATTCGACAATCAGTGATGCCTGTGACGTCTGGATGGAGGAGGAGGGATGGGGGGAGGGGAAGGTGTAAGTAAGAGGAGGAGGAGGAGGAGGAGGAGGAGGAGGAGGAGGAGGAGGAGGAGGAGGAGGAGGAGGAGGAGGAGGAGGAGGAGGAGGAGGAGGAGGAGGAGGAGGAGGAGGAGGAGGATTAGAAGGAGGAGGGGAAGAGGACCACAAAGAACCACACAGAACTACTCAGAATCGCACAGAACCGCACTGAACTGCACAGTACTGTACAGGACCACACAGAGCAGCACAGAACTGCTCATAATCTCACAGAACCGCACAGAGCCACTCACAAAGGTCCCAGAGCGTCCTCTTGATCCCAGTAAAGGTCCTCTGCGCCCATTCGAGCACGAGCCTGGGGTCCAGCAGGAGAGAGAGCACTGGATCGCTGGAAACCGCTGCTGCTCTCAGATAGAACCACCCAGAACCGCACAGAACCGCAGAGAGTTCAAAGAAAACACTTACATAGATCTCTGAGAGTCCTTCTTATCCCGGTGAAGGTCCTCTGCGCCCACTCGAGCACGAGCCTGGGATCCAACAGGAGAGAGAGCACTGGATCACTGGAGACCGCTGCCTCGTCCATGCACACCTCCTCCACGTCTGTTGAAGGTGGGGGGATGTGGTGAGAGGTGGGGGGGAAGAGAACGGGGGGAGTGGAGGGCCAAGGGAAGCAGAGAGCACCGCGTCGCTGGAGACCGCTGCCTCGTCCATGCATACCTCCTCCACGTCTGTTGAAGGTGGGGGGATGTGGTGAGAGGTGGGGGGGAAGAGAACGGGGGGAGTGGAGGGCCAAGGGAAGCAGAGAGCACCGCGTCGCTGGAGACCGCTGCCTCGTCCATGCATACCTCCTCCACGTCTGATGGGGACAGGAGGAGGGGACAGGACAAGGGAAAATACGTATGAGGAGAGGTAGCGGTCTCCAGTGAGGAGAGGAGAGGCAGCAGGAGAGCCAGCGCCAGGCCACTGGAAACCGCTGCCTCGTCCATGCATACCTCCTCCACGTCTGATGGTGGTGGGGTGGGTGGGGGAGGAGAGGGGGTCAGGTATAGGGGAAAGGTGGATTGAAAGAGAGGCAGGATGCAGTGGCAGCAGTGGATCACTGGAGACCACTGCCTCGTCCAAGCATACCTCCTCCACGTCTGATGGTGGTGGGGTGGGGAAGAGGAGGAGCGAAAGATGGGTTGGAAACAGGGGAGGAGGGGGAAAACGAGGGGGGTTAAGACGGGTTGACTCGACACGGTGCGCGGAATAGTGGCGAGGAGAGGTGGGTCGAGACAGGCAGGGGGTGACTCTTATGGGTTAACACGACACAGCACTCACAGTGGCAGATGAGAGTAACAAGCCCGCGGTCCAGAGCAATGTCAAAGAGGGCAAACAGCCGCCGCACGTCCATGGGACACCCCTGAGCGTCCGCCCCCAGGCCCCTGCTGCTCCGGCCCACCATATCCCTCCCCCCACTCACAGTGGCAGATGAGAGTAACAAGCCCGCGGTCCAGAGCAATGTCAAAGAGGGCAAACAGCCGCCGCACGTCCATGGGACACCCCTGAGCGTCCGCCCCCAGGCCCCTGCTGCTCCGGCCCACCATATCCCTCCCCCCACTCACAGTGGCAGATGAGAGTAACAAGCCCGCGGTCCAGAGCAATGTCAAAGAGGGCAAACAGCCGCCGCACGTCCATGGGACACCCCTGAGCGTCCGCCCCCAGGCCCCTGCTGCTCCGGCCCACCATATCCCTCCCCCCACTCACAGTGGCAGATGAGAGTAACAAGCCCGCGGTCCAGCGCAATGTCAAAGAGGGCAAAGAGCCGCCGCACGTCCATGGGACACCCCTGAGCGTCCGCCCCCAGGCCCCCAATCCCCCCTCCGCCTCCCCCTGCTGCTCCCCCTGCCGCTCCGCCCCCCCATCCAGAGTCTTTAACCACGTCTTTGAGAGGGCTGACAAGGCCGGCATCTACACAGGCGTCGTATAGACGGATGTGAATCCGCTCGCCGGACTGCCGTGCGGAACCCTCTTCCCCTGCTGCTACTCCTGCTGCTACTCCTGCAGCAGAAGCAGCAGCAGGGGAAGCTGCAGCAGCGGAAGCAGGGACGCCGATGGGGCAGCGGCAGACGGGGCAGGCGGAGCAGCGCTGGGCGCACTCCCCGCAGAGGCAGGCGTGGCGGCAGGGCAGCAGGCAGTGGTGCACGGTGCGCCCACACGGCCTCAGCTCGCGCATGGCTCGGCACCTCTCCGCCCTGGCTTCTAAGGGGAGGGCCCTCGCAGGGGTAGCAGCCAGGCGCAGCAGCACTTCCTGTTTGGGGGAGGGGGGGATGGTTGAGTCCAGGGCACGCAGAGGTGCACGGTGCGCCGATACGGCCTCACCTCCCGCATGGCACGGCACCTCTCCGCCCTCGCCTCCAGAGGGTGGGCCCTGGCGGGAGTCAGAGCCAGGCGCAGCAGTAGCATTTCCCAGGCCAGCCGCGCAGAGAAATGCTCATGATTTGAAATATTTCTCAGGCTGGTAAGATCTATCCGGCTGGTAGGTTTTATCAGGCTGGTGGCATTTATCAGGCTGGAAACATTACGGGAATGGAGTACTACTACAGTGCGAGTTTTAGATTCCTAGGAGGTCACTGACCACATGCGGTCGGAATCACCTCGCGATTCCATACAGTGTACCCGCAGCATCTAGCACCCGCACTTTACAGTGTGCCTCACATTTTGATACAGTGTGCCCGCCGTCTAGTATCATCTGCACTCTAATGGCTGCTTCGCGTTGATACAATGCTGACGGGGGTGGTATTGGCGTGGACTCAAGACTCGTTTCTAAGGGTAAACTCTACACAGTGTGGCTGCCGTACCTTCCCTCAATTGACTGCCTCGCGATTCAATAACGTGTGCATGCCGTGCCTGCCGACGGGGTTGACTTCGGACTCAGTGCACCCTGCCATTTCTAGGTTAACCCGTTACAAGGTACTGGTCATTCTTCGGTCCTAACCGTACATAGAGGAACTCTAAACAGTGTTTTCGCCGTACCTGCTGACGGCGGTCCATGATCTCCGATTTGGACCCGGCAATCAAGAATCCAACGGTGGACGTTAGATCGAATCTGCAGTCCGTCCGATCCAACGATCAGCAGCCCGACGACTGTTCCGAAACGACGGGAAACTCTGCTCGAGATTAGTCTGATTGATGGTTGAGGCCAACTCGCGAGTGACTAAATTTCTAAGGGCGTGTGTGAATCTAGTTTTAACCTTAAGTTTAGGTTTTTGACTCGATTGTAGCAAGTGAACACTAAGCGAACCTGACTCGATTTTGAGTGTTTGCAAGGTTCGAACCGCGAGTGTAAAAAGTTGTAAAACTCACAACCACACGCGCAAGTGCGAATCTGCAAGTTCGAGCCTGTAGGGGGGAACCGAGCCGCTTCTAGGGTGCGTAGGTTACCCAGTATCGGCATCTTGACAGCGCGACACGTCAACGAACTCACACGAACATGTTGCGAGTGTCGCACATTGCGCGTAGGTGCCTGAAACCACACACGTTCACTACAACGTGAAAAACCACGTTTGCTCATATACTCGAATCTCGTTCACTTTTCGGGGTTCGAGTTTCGTGCGTGACAAAGTGAACACAGCATTGGCGAAATATCAGCGAAAAACGGCGAAATTTGCTACCACACTTGGTTCGATCTCATTTTCGAACCGCAATTAGATTCACACACGCCCTAAATGTGAGAAGCAAATGTTTTGTGATAGGCTGAGCATCGACTGCATGGCTGCTGAAGCTGACGCTGGCGCTGTTGGCACATAGGGACAAACGAAAGCCGTGTCTCATAGCCGAAGCAAGTTCAAAACGCGAGTGTTTTATTCGTAGAAGTAAATTCGGCTTTGTATGGTTTGGTCGGGTGCAATGTTCTTATGTTATGAAGGAAAATTCCTTTTCCATACTTCGCATCCCTCCTCAACGCGTACATCACTCTAGCACCACAGTCAGCACCGTTACCACTCGCAATCCTCGCATCGACAATCCGCCCGCCACTTTCGCACGCCGTATCCCGACCTCACGGCTCGGCGGGTAACCCGCGCTCCGGGCCTCTGCTTCGACACTTTTCCCAACCTCAGTGTCAAATGTTGTAGCCTGTACTGAGGTTTGTCTTAGGGGGTACAGAAGTTAGGGTTTGTTATATGTACCCAAACCAACATCAATGGAACATCCATTCCTCATTCTGACATGGTATCAGCTAGGCTAGGACCCTGTGGGATCCCGTTCCTCCGTTCTCCGTTCGTACCTCCCGAGCCTGACCCTACCTCTCGTTCGTACCAGTTCCGTTGTTACCGCGCCTAGTACCGAGCCTAGCGCCCTTTCCCCCCGTCGCTTAGCGCCCTTTCTCCCCATTACCTAGCGCCCTTTCCCCCCCCCCCCCCCCCCCAGTCGCGTCGCCCTGTCCCGTCGCGTCGCGCCCTTTCCCCCCGTTGCGTCGCGCCCTTTCCCCCCGTCGCGTCGCGCCCGTTCCCCCCGTCGCGTCGTGCCCGCCCGTTCCCCCCCGTCGCGTCGTGCCCGCCCGTTCCCCCCCGTCCCGTCGCCCTGTCCCGTCGCGTCGCCCTGCCCCGTCGCGTCGCCCTGCCCCGTCGCGTCGCTCCCGCCCTTTCTCCCGTCCCGTCGCCCTGCCCTACGCCCTAGCCCGTCGCCCTACCCTAAGCCCTGCCCCGTCGCCCTTCCCTCCGCCCTGGCCCGTCGCCCTTCCCTACGCCCTGGCCCGTCGCCCTACCCTAAGCCCTGGCCCGTTGCCCTACCCTACGCCCTGGCCGGTTGCCCTACCCTACGCCCTGGCCCGTCGCCCTAGCTCGCTCTTCCGCTGCGACTGAGTCCTCTTCCTCCCGGTTGTTACTCGCCTGTTCGTTTGCGTTAGTTCTCACTATGGCGACTCCGCGAGTTCTTCGTTTCGACGCTGACGGTAGACCCCTTGACTTTTCCGTCTGGCTTCTTCGCGCTCGCCGTCTGTTAGAGAGTCAGGTCCAGGGGGGTGAGACCCTCTGGTCCCACGCTACTGGTGACCTCCCTGAGCCCCCCGAGCCTACAGCTTTAGGCCCTGCCCCTGACGACACTACTACGGCTCGCTTTGCCCGTCAGCGCGCTGACCGGACGGCTTGGACGTCGCGTGACGCTGCGGCTTGCATCGCACTCAGCAGCCTCCTCCCTGAGTCCGAGGAGGTCCACTTTACTCAAGTTCGCACCGCTGCTGCGTACCTCACTGCGATTAAGGCCCGCTACTCTACTCCCACTACTGTCTCTCTTGGCCGTCTTTTCCTCCCGTTCCTGTTTCCTGATCTCGCCTCGTTTGAGCGCTCTGCTGACTTGATCGCTCACCTCCGCTCGCTCGACGCTAGTTATCGCGCTGCTTGCACTGAGGCACAGCTTGCACTGCTTCCTCCCCCCATGGCGATTACTGTCTATTTCATCGCCACTAGCCTCCCTGACCGCCTTGCCTCCGTTCGTGACGCGCTTCTGCTGAAGCACCCTAGTGAGCTGACTATCGAGGTCCTTGAGTCTGCACTCAAGGACGTCGAGAGAAACCTTCGTTCGGTAGCTGCCGCCTCTGGTACTGTGTCCCCCCCACTCTTCCACGGGTGCACAGTCCCGCAGTTACCCACCTTCACTGCCTCTCTTGCCACTGCCGCTACTGACGCGACTGCGGCTGCTGTTACGACTGCGTCGCGGTGCCGCGGCAGGGGGGGCAAGAAAGGTGGTTCTGGTGGAGGTGGAGGCGGAGGTAGCGGAGGTAGTGGGGGTGCTGTTGCGCTTGGCGGTGGTGGGAGTGCAGCGTCTGGAGAGACCCCTCGTGCAGCGGCTGGTGACTCCACTGCACCTGCTGGTGGCGGCGACCCCCGAGCTCGTCAGTCGCCTCCTGTACTGCCGGCCCCGCTAGGTGGAGCAGCGGCGTGGTACCAGGCTCAGCGGCAGCAGCACCTTCAGCAGCAGCAGCGTCAGCAGCTGGTACTGCTTACCCTCCCTGCCCCTACCAGGTTCTGACAGGTCCTCGTCGGGGCCACCCTTGTGGCCGCTTTCACCCCCCTGGTCAGTGCTTTGCTCAGCTCACTGACACGGTCCGGTTGGCCTACGGGGTTGGCGGTCCTGCTCCTGACTGGCTTCCTCTGGTTCAGCGCTACGGCTCCGCTCTGTGGGGCAAGTCTGCTGAGCAGTTAGTTGATCTGATTAGTGCTCCTCATGCTATGTATGCTGTTGTTGACTCTAGTGTTTCTGACTCTGTTTACTCTGGTGTTGTTAGCTTAGGTGCTAGTCTTGCTCAGTTGCCTGTTGCTAGTGTAGGTTCTTGTGTAGACTCTAGACCAGCGACTACCTCAGAGGACGCTTCGCTGTCGTTCACGCTGGACTCTGGAGCCTCCCACTGCTTCTTCCGGGACAGCACGACACTTACACCACTTCCTGCGCCTGTTTCTGTTGCGTTGGCTGATCCCACTACGGGACCAGTCACTGCACGTCACACTACCACTTGACCGTGTCCTGCTGCTCCCTCCGGGTCTCTCACTGGGTTTCACGTCCCCTCGTTCTCCCGGAACTTGGTGGGCGTGCGACCCCTTGTGAGTCAGCACGTGGGTGTGTGGTTTGAGCCTTCTGGAGAGACTGCGGTGTGTGTTGACGGAGACTCTTACCAGCCTCTTGCTACCTTTACAGCTGAGCCGGGCTCGGGTCTCTACACTCTTCACACTGGCCCGCGTGCGCCGCAGCAGCAGCCGCAGCAGCAGCAGCAGCCGCAGCCGCAGCAGCAGCAGCAGCAGCACCAGCGGCCGCACCAGCAGCCCCCCCTACTGCCACTGCCCCCGGTCCCCCCCCCCGTTCGGGTCCCCGCGTCTCACCAGGTTGCTTCGTCCCCCCAGGTGTCTGTGTCGTGTCAGGTTCCTACGTCTGTTCCAGTCGCTGCGTCGTGCTCCTGCCGGTCGCTTGCCCACCCCACCGTTCTGTGGCACCACCGGATGGGGCACCCGTCCCTTCCTCGTCTGCGCGCTATGTCCAGTCAGCGTCTTGTCCTAGGCCTCCCACGTGTCTTGCCGTCGCTGCCGCCTTCGCTTGCGCCGCCGTGTGGTCCCTGCGTCGAGGGTCGGCTGCGCGCCACCCCTCACTCCTCCTCCCTACGTCCGGCCACCGAGCCTTTTGAGACGCTTCACTTGGACGTCTGGGGCCCCGCCCCTCGTCTAGGCCCTGAGCATGAGCGTTACTTTCTGGTGGTCGTTGACGACTTCTCCCGCTACACCACAGTGTTCCCTCTGGCGAAGAAGTCTGAGGTGACTTCTACGCTGATCAGGTGGTTGCTCACCACCAAGGACACTCGGGGTCGTCGTGTCAGCTGTCTCCACTCCGACCGTGGGGGTGAGTTTCGCTCCGGCATTCTCGCTGGATTCTGTCGCGAGCAGGGCATTCGTCAGTCCTGGACGCTTCCAGAGTCCCCACAGCAGAATGGGGTTGCTGAGCGCCGCATAGGCCTGGTCATGGAGATCGCCCGCACCTCCCTGACTCACGCCTGTGCCCCCCATTTTCTGTGGCCCTACGCGGTCAGGTACGCCGCGCACCAGCTGAACCTCTGGCCACGTGTCTCTCGACCAGATGTGTCACCGACCAGTCTTTGGACAGGGTCCCCTGGTGTTGCGTCGCGGTTTCGCGTCTGGGGGTGATTGGCTCTTGTCCGCGACACCTCCGCGGACAAGCTCTCGCCTCGTGCCGTCCCCTGTGTCTTCCTTGGTTTTCCTGAGGACTCCTCTGACTTCACCTTTTACCACCCTCCCTCTCACCGGTTCTTTGACTCCCGTGACGTCCGTTTCGAGGAGTCCACTCCGTACTACGTCAGGTACCCCAGTCGAGGTCTCCCGGTTCCTCCTCCCCCCCTCTTCCTGACTGCAGCCCCCCCTCCTGCTCCCCCGGTACAGCCTCCCCCCCCTGGTCCAGCCCCGTCAGGTGTGTCCCAGGCTACCCCTCCTCCTTCGGTAGCCCCTCCGGTACAGCCTCCCTCCCCACAGTCCTCCTCGCAGCGTGCCGCTGGTGCTAGCTCTCGAGAGGTTGGTGCTGCGCCTGTTCCTGTACCGGTTTCTGGTTCTGGGGGTGCTGGAGTTTCTGGTTCTGGAGTTGGAGCTGTCCCGGTGGGTGCAGAGGACTCTTGTCGTCCGGGAGCTGGTGCTGGTCGCGCGGCCACTGGGGGTGCTGCGTCTGGGGGTGAGGGTGCGCCTCCTTCAGGTTCAGGTGAGCCTGGGTCTGGAGCTGGTGTTAGTGCTGCCTCTGGGGGTGGTGCGCCCGGTTCTTCGGGGGTGGACTCTGGAGCTACCGCTGCTTCGGACACTACTCCGCCCCCCCACCCCTACCCGACTAGGCACCAGGCTCGTGTTCGCCGTGCCCGTGACGAGCAGCTGGCGTTGGAGAGAGAGGAGAGGGAGTTACAGCGGCTGGAGGAGCAGAAGCAGCAGCTGGAGCCGCAGGAGCAGCAGCAGCAGCAGCAGCAGCAGCAGCAGCTGGACCCGCAGGAGCAGCAGTCCCAGCAGCAGCCGCTTCCGCAGCAGCAGCAGTCGCAGCAGCAGCAGCAGCAGCCACTTCCTCCTCCTGTCTCGGGTCTTCGGACCCTTGGTCTCCCCTCCCCTTCTCCTCCCTCCTCCGCCTCTCCTCCTGTCTACGGTCCCACGTTTCCTCCTCCTGACTCCTCCCCCGCTGTTTTCCCCAGTTCTCCGCCTTTGTCCTCTCCTCCTCCGTCCCGTTCTTGGGCTACTCGTCGCTCCCCTCGTGCTCGTCCCTCGTCTCCTGTTCCCTTCACTGACCTTCGTACTGCCTTCCTTCTTTCTAGTCCACCTCGTCCGTCTCAGTCTGTGCTTCCGTCTCCTCCTGAGTCGGCCCTCACTGTGTCGCTCCCTACTCCTGTCACTGACTACTACCGCACGTACCGTCCTGTTCTCTCTCGTGTTCTCGCCTCTCTTGTTACTCACCCTCGTGCCTCTGTGTCCTCTGTGTCCGCTCTTACTGCCGCAGTTACTGACTTTGCCTCTACCCGCCGCCTTGACTACGCCACCACGCTTGTGGCTGCTCCTCCTACCAGTCCTCTGGCCGTCGGGGGTGTGTCTGCCCTTGGCTGTGACGCCCTAGAGGACAGGCAGTTTGAGCTAGAGTTCCTGGCGGCCGCTTCCCCTCATCTCTGTGCCATGCTCCTCGCCCCTGAGGGTGACCCCGACGCCCTTGACATTCCGACTCCTCGCACTTACGCTGAGGCAGTGTCAGGGCCTTGGGCCTCTCAGTGGAGAGCTGCCATGGACGCAGAGATGGCCTCCTACAGATCCACAGGCACCTACGTCGATGAGGTTCCCCCCCCTGGGGCGAACGTAGTCGACGGCATGTGGATCTACAGGGTGAAGCGGCCACCGGGATCTCCCCCGGTCTTCAAGGCGCGCTACGTGGCTAGAGGTTTCAGTCAGCGCGAGGGAGTTGACTTCTTTCAGACCTTCGCACCTACCCCGAAGATGACCACTCTTCGGGTGTTACTACACGTAGCAGCACAGAGAGACTACGAGTTACACTCTCTCGACTTCTCCACTGCTTTCCTTCAGGGCAACCTACACGAGGAGGTCTGGTTGCGTCGTCCCTCGGCCTTCACTGGCACTTTCCCTCCTGGGACCCAATGGAGGCTGAGGCGACCTTTTTACGGTCTTCGCCAGGCCCCTCGTGAGTGGCACGACACTGTGCGTTCTACCCTCTCTGACCTTGGGTTCCAGCCGTCTTCTGCCGACCCGTCGCTGTTCGTTCGTCGTGGCTCCACACCGTTCTTTGTTCTGGTCTACGTCGACGACCTCGTTTTCGCCACTCCGGACAGGGTTGCTTTGGCAGACGTGAAGTCCGAACTGCAGAAGAGACACACGTGCACTGATCTTGGTGAGCTGCGCCACTACCTTGGCCTGCAGATCACCAGGGACAGAGCCGCTCGCACCATTACACTCTCACAGTCACACATGGTGCAGCAGGTCCTTCAGCGGTTCGGGCTTCAGCACTCCACCGTACAGCGCACACCTCTCGCTGTTGACCACAGACTCACTGGTCCCTTTCCTGACGAGCCGTTTGAGCCTAGTGGTCCCTACGCAGAGCTTGTGGGTTGCCTCATGTACCTGATGACTTGTACTCGCCCGGACCTCGCCTTCCCTCTCAGCATCCTTGCGCGCTTTGTTGCGCCAGGGAGACACCGTCCTGTTCACTGGACGGCAGCTGTGAGGGTGGCGAAGTACCTAGCGACTACATCAGGCGTGGGGCTAGTTCTTGGAGGGCAGCAGTCTGTCGTACTCACTGGTCACTGTGACTCCTCTTACGCTGACGACGCTGAGACTCACAGGTCTACTCAGGGGTACTGTTTCAGTCTGGGTTCTGGAGCTGTTTCCTGGCGTTCCACGCGCTCCTCTTCTGTCTCGACCTCTACAGCTGAGGCTGAGATTTACGCTGGTGCCATGGCGGCACAGGAGTTGCGGTGGTTGACCTTCTTGCTCGCCGACCTTGGTGAGCGGCCGAGCTCTGCACCGACCTTGTTTACTGACAACAAGGCGTCGATCCTCCTCTGTCGTGAGCCGCGACTGGAGAGCAGAGTGAAGCACATTCACGTCAGGTACTTTCTTCTGCGAGACTTGCAGAGACGTGGACAGGCTCGCTTCGAGTTCGTGGAGTCCGAGGCCAACACTGCAGACATCTTCACCAAGGCGCTTCCGCCTTGTGACCACCAGAGGTGTTGTGTGCAGTTAGGCCTTGTTGACACAGGTTCTAGTCATGTGTAGACTTGAGTTTATTGCCTGCTTCGTCTGTACACTTGCTATATATACTTGTGATCTCTTGGACTGGCCTTGTGGCCACTGTTGCTTGTGCTCAGAGTGTGTGGTGACGTTGTGATCCACCCTGAGCTTTGTTTTCTTTTGGACTGGTCTTGTGACCGTACTCTTTTTGATTTTGCTAGACACCCCTCACTTAGGCTATGGGGGTGTGTCAAATGTTGTAGCCTGTAGTGAGGTTTGTCTTAGGGGGTACAGAAGTTAGGGTTTGTTATATGTACCCCAACCAACATCAATGGAACATCCATTCCTCATTCTGACACTCAGTCCCAGGCCCGTTGCGCGACAACCACAGTCCATTACCGTTACCACTGTAGTTTCGTATATATTGTTCGCTCATGCCTTTGTGAAGAAATGAGGAATGATTGCATTGAGCAGCATGAGGAGTACGAGTAGGAAACCCTGAAGTGTTGTACCCCATATGAGCTACCCCACTACAGCCTACATAGACTATAGCATATAAGTTTGACACACCCCCATAGGCAAAGTGGGGGAGAACAAGAGGTCACAAGACCAGTCAAGAGAAGCAAACCAAGCTCAGGGTGGATCACAACGTCACCAGACAATCTGAGCACAAGCACAAGGCCACAAGGCTAGTTCACATGCAGAGTTATATATCAAGATAAACAAACAAGGCAGTGATCTCAACTTAGCAAGGGTAAGCATGCAAGTGCAGATATATATAGATCACAGTACAAGCAAAGTCAAGAAGTGAGCAAGTGAGGCCAAGTAGGCACAAGACCTAACAACGTACAAAAGCGCTGATGATCACAAGGCGGAAGTGCCTTGGTAAAGATATCAGCAGTGTTGGCCTCAGAGGCCACGTAAGCAAGGTGCAGCTGACCACGCTGTTGCAGCAGCTTACGAGCAAGGAAATAGCGAAGAGCAATGTGCTTCGTTCTGTGCTCTAGTCTGTGCTCCCGACACAAGGCCAGCATGGCCTTGTTGTCTACGTACAGAACTGGAGGAGAACGAGGCGGCTCTCCAAGGTCGGTCAGCAGGTAGGTGAGCCAGCGTAGCTCCTGTGCAGCCATGGCCCCCGCGTAGATCTCAGCCTCACAGCTGGAGCCCAGAACAGAAGACGAGTGGGTAGACCGCCACGAAACAGAACCGGAACCAAGGCTGAAGGTGTAACCCTGTGACGACCGCTGCGTAGCCTGGACGTCAGCCCAAGAAGCGTCTGGGTGACCTGTGAGGACCACTGGACGTCGCCCCCCAAGCACTAGCCCCATGCCCGACGTACTGCACAAGTAGCGCAACACCCTCTTCGCTGCAGCCATGTGCTCTGGTCGGTGTCTCCCAGGAGCAACATAACGTGCCAAGATGCTAAGAGGGTATGCTAGGTCAGGTCGTGTGCAGGTCATCAGGTACATGAGGCAGCCAACAAGCTCTGGGTACGGGCCACTCGGCTCTACGGACTCATTCGAAGGCAGAGCTGAGAGCGAGTGGCGAGTAGACAGAGGAGTGGCCTGAGGCGAGGAGTACGTGAAGTCGAAGCGCTGAAGGACCTGCTACACCATGTGTGACTTAGTCAGGGTAATGGTGCGCTGTGCTCTGTCCCGGGTGATATGCAAGCCAAGGTAGCTGCGCAGTTCACCCAGGTCTGTGCACGTGTGTCTCTTCTATAGCTCGGACTTCACGTGGGCGAGTCCAGCAGTGTCAGCTGTGGCAAAGACCAAGTCGTCGACGTACACGAGGATGTAGAACGGCGGCAAGGAGGTGTCGGTGCGCAGAAACAACAACGGTTCTGAAGTAGACGGGGCAAACCCAAGAGCCGCAAGTGTAGTCCTCAGTGTGTTGTGCCACTCACGGGGCGCCTGGCGGAGACCGTAGACTGGCCGCCGGAGGCTCCACTGGGTACTAGGAGGAAACGACCCAGTGAAGCCAGGTGGGCGGCGCAGCCAGATCTCCTCGTGCAAGCTGCACTGCAAGAAAGCTGTGCTGAAGTCAAGAGAGTGAAGCTCGTAGTCGCGCTCAGCGGCTATGTGCAGCAGCACCCGAAGAGTGTTCATCTTCGCGGTGGGCGAGAAGGTCTGAAAGTAGTCAACTCTCTGCCGCTGACTGAAGCCTCGAGCCACGTAACGCGCCTTGAAGACAGGCAGAGAACCCGGCGGCTGCATCACCCTCAAAATCCACATGTCATTGACGATGTTCGCCCCAGGTGGGGGAACCTTGTCGACGTAGGTGCCTGTGGACTTCCAAGAAG